ACAACTCTGTGTCGCTCACTGCCATACATTCATTCATCCAAGTAATTAGCATCACGGTGTCGCCTTACTCCCCCTTCTGGAAATATAATGGCGAAAACAGCCGTATTGAATCAATAGGTTAAAACATTTGTATTGTAACGACATTCTCAGTAACTGACTATAGTCCGTTTGGCTCAAAAGCGGAGCGATGAATTGCAATCTAACTCGAAAACTAATAAACATAAAATACTCAATGAAATGCTGATCATAATCAAAACGTCAGAAACCAACTCTGAGAGGTGCTTGCAGAATTTATGTCCTAAAAATAAAAAAAGTTGTTTAACAAACTATCATTAAAATATTAACACAGTTCACTATTTGTTACGAGGGAGTAGTGCAGAGAAAGGGACAGCCAGGTGTTAGAGAAGCACGTGCACAAGTGCCGACAAAGTTATTGATCCATTTACCTGTGCTGTGCCGTCTCCATCCTTTCTCGCACACCCGGCTGTCCCTTTCTCTGCACTCCTCCCTCGTAACAAATAGTGAACTGTGTCGATATTTTAATGATAGTTTGTTAAACAACTTTTTTATTTTTAGGACATAAATTCTGCAAAAACCTCACAGAGTTGGTCTGATATTTTGATTATGATCAGCGTTTCATTGAGTATTATATGTTTATTAGTTTTTTGAGTTAGATTGCAATTCATCGGTCCGCTTTAGAGCCAAACGCACTTATAATTTCTATATTAGAAGTTAGTGAGGGTGCAATATCATGGCAGGGGAAACCAGAAATGGGCTTCACACATTGTAATTATGTGAGGAATCGAACCGGGCTTTCGGCCTAACGAGCGAACACTTTAACCACAAGGCTACCCCCCGCCTCTGGTGCCTTGATACTTCTGCACGTTGTGGTGGACACATGCTTTCTAAAGTCGTGCCGATACTTGGGTTTGATTTATGTCCACTTATTCAAAGACTGACACTATACATATATATGTGTGTCAAGAATATGATGGAGAATATTGTGTGTAGGATCTTAATGGTTATGTGTCTGTGTTCGTGTGTGTATTGATATTGAACAGTCGACACAGTCATTAGTCTTCACGTCACCCTTTGAGCGATTTGGGTTTAACACTGTTTCTCCAGTCTGTGTGGAAGGAAATCCCAATGCCGGCTAGTATAGGCGCAGACAAACGTTAGCTGATTATGTTCACAAACATACGTTTGTTCGGGGAACGTTATGAACTCAGTTCGCAAATAGATTCACCACATGGGTAAAATGTACAAAGTCCATTTCTGGCGTCCCCCGACGTGATATTGCCCTAAGATTGCTAAAAGCGGCGTACGTTCCAATTCCTTCAGTCGCGGCTGTCAAAACGTACATACAACCAGAAATTATTGAGAATTTAAAGATTGTACATTTTTTAATTTTTTTCACTCATTACTCATGTATAAAATGTGAATATTAGCAGAACATAACTTCAGATGCAAAGACAGGTGAACAGTTAGTATTTTGTCAAGTCACCATGGGCAGCAATGCAGGCTTCAATGCGGCGGGGAATACTACTGATCAAAGAAGTTAGAAAGTCGTGGTCCATACTGTCCCAATATCGGATCACCTCTTCTTTCATTTCAGCAATATTTGTCAGATTTTTCTTATTGACACTTTCCTTCATAAGTCCCCAAACATTTTCCATTTGATTTAGGTCAGGGCTATAGCTTGGCCAATCTAATAATGTCATATTTTGGGTCCGAATCCAGGCCTGTGAATGCTTTGAACGATGTTTTGGGTCGTTGTCCTGCTGGAAAATCAAAACATTTCCATAGAACACGTGAGCAGATGGAAGTAAATGTCCCTCGAGAATATCTGTGTACCGCTCACTGTTCATATTCCCTTCAAATACACAGATATGCCACCCCACACGATAAATTTCAGACTGTACTTTGGGCGCTGATACAAAGGTTTTTCAGTTTGTTTGGTCCAGAATTTCAGTGTATTAGGAAACAGCCACACAGGACTTTCACCTGGGAAAATCACATTGTCCCAGTTAGAATTTCAACCTTCGCTCCTTTTGTTCAGGTTTCATGATCGGTGATGGAATTCCTAGACTCTTCATAAACTAATGAAAAAGGATTACCGGAGTTGTCTCTCTTAAAAGAAACCAAGCACTTGATAGCTGGTCAAGGTTGTTTACACTAGAAATTCAATTAAACATATTCCTAAAATTCTCAATAATTTCTGGTCATACTATATATTGGTTGCTTACAACAGATGCTGCATAGATATTACTTATAGGCAGTTCCCAGGGTATTGCGACTCGTTAAACACTTATGTCATCACAAAGGCTCGGGGTCCTGTTTCTGATACAAGATGATGACAAATGTCAAGTGAAGAAACTTCCAACTGTCTAAAAAAACACGCCATGCGCCATCTGCACCAGATTGTTCCTCTCAGCCTTCTCGTCTTCTGCAAAACTTTCACCAAAGCGAAAATGTTAGCGTGTGCTCTCTGGACCATCGTGTTGAGGTGCGTATGCCATCCTTCGAGATGGTTGTTCGTCCTTGGGCCGTTGGCCTCATAGTGATTCCATTATCCGGCCCGGAACGTGGCATGGTCGTCCACCCAGGTGCTGGTGACGTAGTCGTGGAACTCATCCTTCTGTGCAATGGCAGGGGCGTGGACATGAACTCTATCCAAGCTTCTTGCATCATGGTCACTGGGAGGAGGGGAAGTGCTGCTGTTCTGTGTACCCATCTGTGAACCTCAGGATGCTGTTCTTTATAGAATAGAACGACTGGAATGTCGCTGCTTCACCTGTCAAGTCTGGAAATCTCCTCATTGTAAATGACTTGTACTGGCGTCGTCTCAGCCTGTATCCGCCGCCGCAGAGAACTAGCAACTAAATCATTCTACTCTTCAATCTCCTTCTCGAATGACATTGAAAAACGTTAAATACTAAAAAGTAAACGCGCGTAAAGTTTTCAAAACATAACTGGACAATTGTTCTTTGCCCTTTACTCCTAATCCTATTGTAGGCATTGGTGCACACTAATTGAAACAGTCCACTTGTGTGCAGGTACAAATGTAGGCGTATCGCTGTCACAACAAACTTTGTAGCTATTACTCACTGTAGCTATGCTTACCTTGAAGGCATTAGTAGACCTAACCTGTGTGTCAGTTTCATTTAAACACACAATAATATAACATTGTAATGGCATAAATCGTCGGCACACGAGTGCCTCATCAACACGTTTCACCCTATGGCTTGACATTGATTAATGCTTTTGATTAATTTATGCCTTTTGCTGTGTTTGTGACCTCTACTTATTACCACGACCAACAGCACTGGCGTTATTCAGAACTCCTGACATGTGCTAAATATCAATATACAAGTCTTTCTCTAACTGATGATGATTTCTAAAATATCAGGCAAGCGGGTTACTGCATAACTCGCACAAACTGACAGGGCTGTCACTGACAAGGGTTTCTCATGAATCGAGTCTGTTATGAGATCTAATTTGCAACCCCACACCATCACTGAACCACCACCAAAGGGTTCAGCTACATGGGTCATCTCTTGGTGATAAACTTCGTTATGACGTATCCATACGCGACACCGACCGTCGGTAGAAGACAGTGAATTTCATCAATGGCACTAAGCCATGTCAAGTTACAGAGACTGTTCCACGCCAGATCTGCCTACCTGTGACGACAAGTCATACGAATAACGGCGTGGTTAATGTTCCAAACTTTCACAGACGTTGTGTCAATATATCCCTGGGGCATGCACACCAAAACCTTGCCATCGTGTATTTTCCGAAAGTCGACGTCTTGCCATGTCAAGAAAAGTTAACTTTAGTTCTGTCGTCTTTTAAATAAGCTAGGACAAAATGTCGTGCACATACTGCAATTATGAAATATACACGCCAAAGTGCTTGGCGCCTTCACAGCACGTAAACATGCGATCCACAACTAGATATTAGATGCGCATATGGTATGATCGCCTGTTTGGAACAAAATTTGTAAATTTCCCAATGGATTGAGGTGAAGCTTAACTAATGATCATTTGCATATATGCCTCAAGGTCGGAAGTATAAAAATATTCCTGAGCCAAAACATGAAAAAAAACCCAATAATTTCTCAGAATTTGGACTTATTGAAATCACACTTTGCGCAGCACATCTGTAGGTATAGGAAAGAAAGAAATCCATGAGTTGTTTTCAAGAAAATAGTCGCATAAATGCTGAATGAAAAAAATATTCTTACTCAATACATGAAAAAACCCCACAAAAAACCCATTTGCACTGCAGCTTTCCATTAGGATGAAAACTGTTCCGTAAATTTGAAAAGATAGTGGAGTTTTCATGTTTTTCGTCCAACAAATGTTTAAGTTACAAAATTACGAATCAAAAAACGGAAAATAGCTGTATTTTTCAGAAACTAAATACCGCAATCAACCTATGCGCTGGATTTCTGCTAGTGGTATAGAAAAAGTTCAAGCTTGAAAAGAATCTATGCAGTAGTTTTCAAGAGATGGGTCGCACTAAAAATGTTCTCCGAAAGAGGAACCGAATCTTTACCTTGGCATAAAAACACATCAGCTGGAGTTCTTTGTACCATCTGCAGATCCGTTAAATATTGGTGCTTCAGATTACCTGAAACATTTGTTGTGCCTTAGCAAAATTTCCCCATAATCTTGATATACTGTCATCCGATTTCTACTATGATTCTATAATGTAAACAAACATGAAATATTCATTAAACCATATTTACAGCAGAACTTGTCTGCAAGGAGTCCACACATGAAGATCTGGGTTAGAATTGGTCTTCAGCAACCCATACATGGGTTGCAACTAAGGGTCAGGCTTACTGACTTGGTTGACACGTCATTCTATCCCAATTGCGTAGATTGATGCTCATGCTGTTGATCACTGGATTGTATAGATGGAATACTGCTGAGTGCTGCGTTAAACAAACGTAGTCCCTGAAGATAATACACAGATATAATACTACTCACTCCAATACTTAAAACATTTTAATTCTGATTTAAATGTACACATAATTAAATCTCACATCATGTTACATAACCCAGTGTACTGTAGTTGTCAGTGTGAGATCCCACCAGACTGTCCAGATACATCACTCAACACCTGTATCCTACATCATGGAGCACTCCTGGATTCAGCCCAACATGCTATGCTATATAACTACAGCCATTCCAGACTACAACAGAAACAAGCACCTGCAACAGCAGCCACATGTCGGCTTTCGTGCTGCCAGGTAAGACACAGGCTATAATTCATGCATAACTCTTAAATGCACTTTTCTGAGTATTCAAGCTTTGATGGTAAGTCGTTTACATATAGAGAGGGATGTCAATACAGTCTCATTAAATTAAATTCAATCCCCTTCAAAAGAAAGATAAGTGATATGATTATGGTTTACTCTTCCTTCATCCCTTTGCGATATCACTGCAGGGGACACCAGAAATGGGCTTCACACAGTGTAACTATGTAGGGAATCGCGGTCCATGTCTGAGAGTTACGGAGACCTTGGTAGTAACGATGAGGCCCACATCTTTAGTGAGTGAGTGAGTATGGTTTTATGCCACTTTTAGCAATATTCCAGCAGTATCACGTCGGGGACACCAGAAATGGGCTTCACACATAGCACCCATGTAGGGAATCGAACCTGGGTCTTCGGCGTGACGAGCTAACACTTTAACCACAAAGATCTGATTTTAATGAGACTGGTTGACATTATTGTAGATAGTATCAGTAATACGTAGTTTACTTTAACTATTAGTAGGATGTAGACAATGAAAGCAATACTTCACACGAGAGGGGTACATCAGGATTGCTATCAAAAGTAGTCTCAGTATACAATGTTATCTGCGAACTGGTGCCGCCCTGTTGCGTCGAGTATTGAAGCTTCACTGGGACAATGTAGATTTCTTAGGTCAGCAAGACCATGAAAATAAAGATGTCTATCCATACTTGGCACATAACTGTACGACAAATCACTGGGAAAGAAGAAAGAAAGCCCACAAAAAGTTGCATAATTTCCTTCAGACTTTTATATGCAGCAAAATAGTCCGGGAAATCATATTGTATACACCAGATTCAAACAGGTTGTTAGTAACAAGCATATAGAGGACATAAAGCAATAACAAACAACATTAACAAGGCGTACCTCTACCCCAGTGGAGTGCTCCATCCATTGTATCTATACCTCAGTAACGAAAACATCTCGGACAACCACAGCAGGCTCCAGATAGTGGTGGATGCCGACAGTGAGGTCTAATACATTCTTAATACATTCTAATACATTCTTGCATTAATCCCAGTGACATACACAGCCATCACAGCTTACTGGTGTACCGAATTAGTCAAGCTGAGTTATATAATGACCACAGATCTGTAGTATTATCTGTGAGTCTTTAAGTCACTGGGTGTCATAACCCTTGTCATGTGTAACCTCAACTCTCTCAGTTAGGCAAACAGTTGCTACTGTACATGTGTAATCTCAACTCTCTCAGTTAGGCAAACAGTTGCTACTGTACATGGCATCACAATTTTACCCAGAATGTGGTCCTGCTAATGATTAAAAATAAATAAACTAACATTTTCTACTGCCTAACTGGTATTCCCTGTTATTAAATGCACTGATCTCAAGGTAAAGCATCCAACCACTTTTTGAGCCAGCTGGTTTCTCTTCGATTTAGCACTTAGACAATTTGTTCAGATCTCTACGTCTGTGTTGTGCTATAACAGCATGTTCTCCGGGCGTTCCAGCAGCTTCCGAAACTCCGCCAACCACTGTGCTCCCACAGCTCCGTCTACGACACGATGGTCACAGCTTAAAGTCACAGACATCATGTTTGCTGATCGGTACCTGAAATTCATCACAAAAAAAGAACAAATTAATTCTATTTCACATTATTAACCATCATAGTGATCTCAGGTCTCTGACCTGAAGCAGACATAACTAAGTCTATTGTTTCTTATATACCTCGTTTTCAACATTCTGTATGTGATGATCCATGAAGTAAATGCCTAGCATATAATTTGAACCACATTTTCTTCCATATTTTTCTGACAATATACTTGAAAATATGTTTGAGAGTTCAGTGCCATATGAAAGAAGAATGGACCTTGTAATGTATTCAGTGTTTCAGAAAGTTTATCACTGAAACTACCAATATTGCACAAAGGGACTCAGTGGAAAAAAGTCAGAACTTACCCCATGTCTGAGTTTTCATCCACAATCAATCTTTTTGTCAGCTCCACCAACAGCTAATATACAAGCCTGAAATGACATATACACGTCGCATTTAACGTTCCATCACTTCACACGTATCAATTATTATTAATAGGCCACTGCCCATGAACTGACATATCTGTACAGATATCATGAAGTCATCATGTTTGATCATTTCCATTGAAGTACAACACTGATCAAGGTCACAAGTTTTGTTTTGTTACACAATCATTTCACTGGAAATATTTGCTATATGTAGGGGAGAATGGGAAAAGATGACTACTGCAAGATAATTGATATATTTATCTTGTGAATCTCCAAAGGACTGAGCATATGATGCTGTGACAGACCACTTATGTGACAGACACATAAGTATGACCTGTGTCATACACCTGTGTGACATACAACACCTGTGACATACCTGTGGAGGGTTGATGACAGCAGAAAAGTGTTTAATGCCGAACATGCCTAAGTTTGATATTGTGAAAGTACCGCCCTGCAATGGAAGAAATTAACCTTCAGTTATGCAACACATGACAACTAATGATTTATATAACATAGAAAACCTATCACCAGTTGATTATTTCACAAAGAAGGAAAAAGAGATACACAAAAAGTTGCAAACTCACCACTATTCTTTGTAATTTTACATGAACAGAATACCTACAGCAACCTTGAATAATTAATCTTGTATCAGAGAGCAAAATGTGCCAGTAAGGTACAAAGATTTATCTCCCTTATCCATGTCAATCAAAATGTTGGTAAGGCCAGACCAATTATATTTCTTGTTCTATGGATCGCCTGTCGTATTTTTTCAAGGACAAGAAAAGAAAAAAAATAATTAAATTTCCCCGCTCAAAAAATCAAATCCTAATGCCAAAAATGTAAACATACAAGAAATGTTATTTTTAGATTGTTTCTTCGCCCCATATACACTTCATAAATTGACTAAAGTAACATACTTTGAATATTTAGAAGGAATATTAGTTTGACTGGTGATTTTATTTTATTGTTTTTTCCCTCCTGCCTTTAGGTTTTCTGAGGACAAAAATCTGTAAAACAAGAAATAAAACTGGTCTGGCCTAAGGAGGCAAATTAAACAGCTGAGCAAGATAAAGATTGTAGAATGCTGGCTGTAAAGATGAATCATACGTTCACGAGAGAATACGTTTGACATCAATACATTACAATCAAACATGTGATTTCCTGAATCACATAAGCTGAGTCTTTCCATTTCGAAAACATGTGGATGTGTCTCAATATTTATACAAACATTCCACATCTGCATAACAATGCAAAAAAAACATGTGAGATATGAGAGACTGTTGTCTGGGGCAATGTCTACAAATTGATCTTGTCACCAAATTTGTCATAAGTCTGTGTCGGAATATAGTAGTTTTAAACATCCTAACACTAAGGTCACTCCTTGAAATGGTCAACTGGCTACTATGCGACTGTATACCTGAAACTCCTGTGGCTGAAGCCGTCCCTCCCTCGCCTTAGCTGCTAATACGGCCACATCCTGACAAATCTGTGATAAACCCTGCAATAACATCAACACTCATGTGACACTCTGCAACAACAAATAGTACATGACACTGGAACACAAGGAAAGTACTACATATATATTTAACATTTCGCTAAAGCTGACTAGTAGATCAGAAACTGAATGTCCCTTAAAGAGTATAGAGTGCATACTTGTTCACGCATGATTTATACGAGTTCTGAAACAATGAATGACTTCTGCATATGAACTCTCACCTTGACATCAGCTCTAAACACTATTGGTGTTATCAAGCCATTGTCTGTTGCTACTGCTATGTTCACATCAACCGAATTGTATCTGAAATGGCAGAAATTCAGTTTTTTGTCAACAAAAATACTCAAAACATGCAATCAAATTACTCATGCTGTCAGGATCCTGTCTTCAATAAATGTACTGAAATTACAATGCCAAAGGTCAAGTAAAAATCCTATGACCTTAAATTTCTTTTCCACATATCAAGATACTTCAGAATCCCTGATAAGATATTTTACAAGTAGGATAACACTGTGAGGGAAGGGTTTCACTATCAGTGAGATAACACTGTTATATCCCTAGCATCCTGTGAGGGAAGGGTTTTACTATCAGCAGGATAACACTGTCATATCACCAGCATCCTGTGAGGGAGGGTTTCACTATCAGTGAGATAACACTGTTATATCCCCAGCATCCTGTGAGGGAAGGGTTTTACTATATCAGCAGGATAACACTGTCATATCACCAGCATCCTGTGAGGGAGGGTTTCACTATCAGTGAGATAACACTGTTATATCCCCAGCATCCTGTGAGGGAAGGGTTTTACTATATCAGCAGGATAACACTGTCATATCACCAGCATCCTGTGAGGGAGGGTTTCACTATCAGTGAGATAACACTGTTATATCCCCAGCATCCTGTGAGGGAGGGTTTCACTATCAGTGAGATAACACTGTCATATCACCAGCATCCTGTGAGGGAGGAGTTTCACTATCAGTGAGATAACACTGTTATATCCCTAGCATCCTGTGAGGGAAGGGTTTTACTATCAGTGAGATAACACTGTCATATCACCAGCATCCTGTGAGGGAGGGTTTCACTATCAGTGAGATAACACTGTTATATCCCCAGCATCCTGTGAGGGAAGGGTTTTACTATCAGTGAGATAACACTGTTATATCCCCAGCATCCTGTGAGGGAAGGGTTTTACTATATCAGCAGGATAACACTGTCATATCACCAGCATCCTGTGAGGGAGGAGTTTCACTATCAGTGAGATAACACTGTTATATCCCCAGCATCCTGTGAGGGAAGGGTTTTACTATATCAGCAGGATAACACTGTCATATCACCAGCATCCTGTGAGGGAGGGTTTCACTATCAGTGAATAACACTGTTATATGACAAGTTTCTATATTGACTTACTGCCTAATGAAAGTGTCTTGCCATGAAGAGTTGGCCTCAGGAACCTTCTGACAAGCAAGAGCTGAAGCTTTGATGATAAAGTCATTCACGGACAGTTTCACATTCTGCTTCGCAAGAGATTCGTTGAAATCTCTGCGTAAACTGAAATAACAAACATACATGGTCAACTACTGGATCGATACAAATGTTGTTTCAACACATTCAAAACATATATTTCCTAAACTTATCAGTTGTAGTCAGTTATGTTAGAAAACAAGATATCACATGTTGAGGGACATGGGAAAGCATTAATACCTCTGTTCAAGAGTATCATGTGTAACTAAATGGAGATTTGAACATTTGAGTTTTTATAGTTTTGCATAGGCCACTGATAATCAAATTGTATTTTGGACTGGCATCAAAATTAAAATATTAAGACAATTTGGAAAGCTTGCAGTTTTCTAACAAACACACAGGTGCCATTTATTATTATTTAAGAGTAGAGTTAAAGTTGAGAAGTATCTGTTCAGGTGAGCTTCAACTCAAATCCCTCCACTTTGGGACTGGAATGAACTGCCACACAACAGGACTACAGCTGGCCATTGTCAAAAAGAAGGGAAGTAACTACGCATATGAATTTGTATTTCCTTCTTGTAAGCTCTCACTACAGACACAGAAACGTGAATATATACTTTCCATCAAACTTTTAGACTCACTAAAACACTCACTATATGTTATGTTTATATATATGGTTACATCGAAGATAGATTCCCCACACTCTTAGGGGAACCAACTGCAAACCTTATGCAGATGAATTGTACAAGGATCATGAATTGAATTGCTGAAAGCAAGTGCAAATATCGTGCATGTGAACAGCTGCATTTTGGTGTAAAGTTATGTTAAGAATTCGCCAATTTTCACTGCTTTTTATCATTTATTGAACCCATAACAACAATCTTTTCAACGTTACGAATTTGTTTTACAATACATCAGTTCATGTGTAAACAGTACCTTCAAACAGTATGGTATATTTTGCAAAATGTAATTTTTATGGTGAAATTGATATTTTATACTTATCCTGACTCATGCTATATGCTTATGTAGTTTAGACTGACTGACTGAGTTTAGTTTTACGCTGCTTTTAGCAATATTCCAGCAATATCACGGCGGGGGACACCAGAAATGGGCTTAACACATTGTGCCCATGTGGGATGTAGTTTTGAGCAGTTGCCGGTAGTAAGTAACTATATTTACACTAGTGAGTCTAAACTTTTGATGGGAAGTATATAATGATGATTGTGTCCTTTAAGAGAATATTCAAAATTAAAATCAGTGTATTTTGTATAAAGCTTGTACTACACAACATACTATCAGTATTCTTAACCACAGCAGAGATTCCCTACCTGAGCACTCGGTCAACATTGACATCTATTGTGAGATAGTAGTGAGGGATGGTCTGCTTCGATTGGGTCAATCTCTTTGCAATAACCTGAAATTTATAAAATATACAAAAGTTCCATCAAACTTCAGCAACCATCCAAAATATATCAATGTCAATATATCTATAGCTGTGACAGTCTTCACTGTGTTTCGACATAATCCCAGTACAGAAAGACACATAATAAAACAGAAAAAAGACCTATCACAAAATTAGTTTCCTTGTGTCAAGATACTAGTTTCCATTTGTCCATTTTATTGTTTTGACAAGGTGTTGTCACTTTTAACTATTACTTAACAACACTGAATATTTAACAGGCTAAGTGGTAGACTATCTTCCTCCAAAATGTCTCATCTAAAGACCATGTCAAATCACAAACCAATCATTTTCACGAACCTCCTAAAATACAACATAACTTGTAATATTACAGGTAACAATTTAAATCCACACAGAATTTAGAATATAAAATCTGGATCCCTGCCACACCCCTCCTTCAATATTAAATCATGATGGATCCACCATCTCTGCTACCATACCTGTCTGACATTGGAGAGTGGGATGTCTGTAAAGGTAGCCCCGGGAACTGCTGGGACCGCCAAGGGTGCAGCACTTGGAGTGAAGGACACCACATCCTGGGCTCGGACCTGACCCTCTGGGCCACTACCACTGACCATCTACAAAATTACCCCACATAATCACCACTTCTTATGGTACTACGGCAAGATTATTAGAACAGCCAACAAGACTTGTTTTCTATGAGAGAGTGAGTGAGTGAGTGAGTATGGTTTTATGCCAGCTTTTAGCAATATTCCAGCAGTATTACGGCAGGGGACACCAGAAATGGGCTTCACACATTGTGCCCATGTGGGGAATTGAACCCAGGTCTTCGGCATGACGAGCGAACGCTTTAACCACTAGGCTACCCCACCGCCCCTATGGGCCGTGAGGTGAAATTGGGTTTAACGTCGTGCTGGAGATTATGTCGCTCATATGACAACGTGCATGCGTGTGTATGTGTATATGCGGCTGTTTGTACTAGCTCAGACTGAAGCTGGTTTTATAGTGCTAGCCCACTGAGATACCATGCCGCAGTGAAGCATGAATACCCCCACTCAGACATTATACTGACTCCAAGCCGACCAGTCCTTGTTGTACCCATAAATGCCGAACGCCAGATAGGGACCAACAAGTACCATATTTTAACGTCTTTTGGCATGATATGGTCGGGGATCAAACCTGCGACCTTCCGCTCTGCGGGCGGACGCTCTAACCACTACAACCGCCCCTATGAGTGAGTGAGTGAGTGAGTGAGAATATTTCGCTCATATGACGAAGTGCATGTGTGTGTATGTGTGGCTGCATGTACTAGCCCAGACTTCAGCTGGTTTTATAGTGCTAGCCCACTAAGATACCATGCCTGAACTTTAAGTTAAGTTAAGCATGAATACCCCACTCAGAGACATTATAGTTTATACTGATTCCGAGACAACCAGTCCTTGTTGTACCCATTAATGCCGAACGCCAGGCAGGGACCAACAAGTACCATATCTTAACATCTTTTGGTATGACGCGCGAGTGAGAGTTTAGTTTTACGCCACTTTCAGTGATATTCCAGCGGTATCACGGCGGGGGACACAAGAAAAGGGGCTTCACACATTGTGCCCATGTGGGGGGGAATCAAAGGCTGTAACCACTGGGCTAACCCGTGGCCCATTTTTTCCTAATGAAGTTAATACATGCAAATTAGTTGTACAACTTTTCCAACAAACCTATTATTTAATAAAGTTATCACATATCTTATAGTTGCAATGTAACTTTGAATAAATGTGAACATAGAGCAATTTACTTTGTAAACAGTGAATTCTGAAACGCCTATGGTAATATTGCTGAGCGCAGCTTTTAACAACAAACATTGTGACAGTCTACTCACACCAAGATTCACCCCCTTCTCGGCTGCTAGCGTCTTGGCATAAGGGCTTGCAAATACTCTACCCCCCGGGCTAGGGACGGCTGCTGGGGCGGCAGCAGCAGCTACAGGGGCAGGAGCTACTGGAGGTGGAGGGGCTGCTGCCACAGGTGTAGGTGCTGGTGGAGCTGCAGCTGCTGGGGGTGGGGCAGCCTTGGCTCCTCCTGTAGGCTGGTCATCGCCAGGCTGGGGGGTGTAGTCTTTGAATGCTGCTACATCAGATTCTTCATTCACAATGATACACACCAACTGAAAAAAGTACCAAAACCAGCAAGATTAGCACAAGTTGAAAATTGATGCATAAATTATGTGCTTTTAAATTTTGCCAAAAGGGTCATTATATAAAGCAAATTCAAAATGCTGCACTGAACACATGTATTATATGTTAACAGTAAAAGAATTACTTAACTGACAGACACACTGAACTCAAATTATTAACATTTCCAGGGTTCGAAATACCCCATATATTAGTGTGCCATGGCACGGTAATTATTGAAATGGCACGGCTAAAAAATGTTCTCGGTCCCCTTTTGACACGCCTGAGTTTTCAGAGACATAACTCACATTTAGTCATTTAATCCCCAAAACAATTTTTTTTTTCCAAATTAAATAATACCATACAGATTTGACTGCTCATAAACCTATTTCTTTATTTAACAATAAATTTCAAATGATCATCATCATTGTCATTTATTCTAAAAACATGTGGGCATACTCAATTTCTGAAAGGCACACCTAAAATATTTGTCTGGTGCCCTAAGGCACACTTAGAAAAAAAAAGTATTTCTATCCCTGATTTCTAAACTGTAAGGATTTATAGAATATAGTGATCATAAGGCAAAAAACTGACGAGAAGACAAGGGAGGCAAGTTTCTTGAGAAAATTAGCTCATCACTCAACAAGTAAATTTTCAAAACCTGATGCACCAGCCCACCTATAAATGTTACACTGCCATGGACTTAAATGCCATTTATACAGCAGATGTCCTTGACTCTTTATAACACAGAAACATGGCACCAGAGTCACTGCACCTCCTTCCCTCCTGAATAACAACAGTAGCTATTTTCCTGAAGTACAGTGAAGCCTCGTTAATCCGGACGGTTATTTTCTCAGTAAATTCGTCCGGATTGCTAATAGTCCGGACTACTGAATCTAGACCCAAGTTGCTTCCCAAACTATTACAAAACGACACGAATCTGGATAAAACAAATACTGTAAACGTGTATATATTTCAGCAAGCAGGTTTTATTTTCGCTTTTAAAATACAAAACATTTTAGCGTGAAAATTTATAGACCGCGAATAAACCTGTCATTCATTCAGTCTAGCCACGCTTCCCCTGAGTTTGAAGACAGAAATCTACGGAATCTTAAAATGACGACTGATAGTAGCATAAAGAATCATACTTAACATCATGAAGCTTAACTAGTAAGCATTTAATGCAAAGCTTAATTCATCACATCAATAATTTTACCGAAAGTGACATCTGCATGTTTATCCGGCGTGTCTGATCACGCCCTACCTCAGCACAGGTGAGGTAATGTCTAACAAGCCGATCTATTGTAGTATGCCTTGAATGTCCGAATTATTCCTGCATCCATCGGGTTGAATATGAGACGTGGTATTTGGTCACATTTCGCAAAGTTAGCGAAGCACACTTGTGACTTGCAGCATTGTCGTGAAAAGCAAAATCACTTTAAGTCCACGTGACCGCATCTGTCTGTCAAAGTACATTAACCAATCACAAAACAGCTCACTTGTGATCGACGCTTTGTATTGTGGTGTCAATCAAAGTGTAAATGTACAGTATCTTCAGTCGGGAGCTTTTAATGTCTAATTAAAACAACAACCCAGTTGGCCAGTTAATTAAGTAAACGTCGCGGGAGGTGTTGTTACGGTTTGTGAACACGACTTACAGCGTCCGGACTGTGAAGCAATTTACTGTTTATTTTACTGATTGGTGACAGCTACTTATCATCCGGTTCCGAAACCGATTTCCGGATTATCGAGGCAAATTATATAGGCATAGATTGGTAACAAGCTGAAATCGCCGGAGGCGAGACATCCGGATTATCGGAGTCCGACTAACGGGGCTATTTTCCTGAAGTAGTTGTATACTGTAAAATGACTAATCATTTCTATGTGATTAAAAATTATCATCTCCTTAAAACAGACCTTCCCAATAGGCACATCTTTTGAGCCAGCAGGGATAAGGATCTTTGCAAGGTAACCCTCCTCAACTGACTCGAATCCCATCGTGGCCTTGTCAGTCTCGATCTCAGCCAGGAGGTCCCCATCAGACACCTTGTCCCCCTCCTTCTTCTGCCAGTTGATGATGGTCCCAGTCTCCATGGTGGGGGACAGGGCAGGCAACACTATCTTGTAACAGTCTGGCAGATCTGGGGCAACACACACAGATGCCATTAAGCATGACATGTATGAAGAAAGGAAACAAACTGAGTGCTGAACAGATGACAGGTTGTTGGATGTGGCAATAGTTTAACCTATATGAATGTGGCCTGTGAATAATAGGGACTGGATAAAAAATATCAGCTATATTATGAGTAATAACAATTGCAATGAATCAGCAAGACTGACAATCCATTAAGTTGACTAATATGACCAACAAGTTGTAGAGGAACTATTCTAACCTGGATATACTCACAAGTTTGCTCTCATGTAAATTATGCATATACATTTTACCTGAACTGTAGAGACGACGGGACTGCCATGACCTCAAGGTGCTTCGATGACCTACAGATTTCAATGTAGTGGACCTAGAAAGGGAAACATACTTATTAGGTTTTATGTAAAACAGCTTTTCTTCTGTTGCAAATTAAAAATTATAAGCCAGAAAATATACAAATCAAATGAAAGCTTTTTTCAGTCACTGCAGTATAATATCAGTGGTCAACTGATAACAGTCTCATGATCTAAAATCTGTGATGGATTCAAATATGCCAGTGAAGATGAAACATGTTGTTATGTATATGACAGTTTTACTGTCCACACAACTGACAATAAATCTGACATAAATGGAACAGACAAAAAGGATCCCATGCTGTTGATAAGTTAACCTTGAGCATATATAACAAGACAGTTCATCACATCATGATACTCCATTATTCAACACATTCAAGGGTATTACATCATGAAGCAAGAGTATCAATCAAGATTTCAATCACTCCACAGATTACAACCAAGGAGTTCAATGACAAGAGATACATTGAAAAGTATGTTTGCGCTATATCAAGTATCTTCCAGCTTTATGCCCAATATGACTGAAAAGGGCAGGTTACAAACGTCACATGTCGTATTTTTCTAGAACCGAGATGTTAAACACTTTGTCGCATCTTGGATCGTGAAAATTAACTTCGGAGTGAGTGAGTGAGTTGGGTTTTACGCCGCTTTCCGCAATATTCCAGCATTATAACGGCGTGGGGACACTAGTAGAGAGGCTCTCGGCTAGGGGGACACCAAATTAACTTCGGTTCAGTGGTACATTCACTACATTCAATATGTAATCCATACACCTCCTTACTACCTCGTACGCGATATCGTTATGAAGCAGTGTGGAACCATATCATATCGTGCATATAACATTTGTCATAGGGCCATAAAGCAATTACAATATTGATTAACGTAGATATTGTTGTGAACTGACAGTTGACACTGGCATGTGCATGCACAAAACTCGTGCATGTTGATTCTGTATACCTGGCAAAGTGCTGGTGTGCGAGTTTTGTACATATACATCTTATCGGTAATGTGCGCAATCTCCCGACTGCTGACTGTCGCAAAATGCCACGGACCACGACAGTCGAACGAAACATAATGTTGGAGCAATCGGCTCCTCTGCCGGCAAGGTCAGTGATAAATGCTGATAGAAAATAATGCTTTCGTGTCGACTATCTCCAATACTACTGACTGAGAAACCCTTAACTGTTAAACATTTACACCGCATTACCAAATATGTGAAATATCTACTTATACCATGATATTAATTTATAAAAATCCTGTCTCTTCCCCCAAAAAAACTGTCCAGGACAAATAGAATAGAAATATTGACACAGTGAAGCGAAATTTTATCACAATTATAATATGGCACAATGAAGCGAAATTTTATCACAATTATAATATTGGGTCCATAGTCACGGGAGCAAAGACAGGTCTATGTTTCTAAATATAATGTGTGAGGTTTGTTTTAATGATATTCTGGGTCCGGAAAAATTATTTAATTATGATGGTATCCTCCCAAAACTTCGACATCCCTAAACTTCCACAGCTTATAACAACATTTCTGGATGACTGCACACACTTTAGCATACTGATTACCTCGGTTATCTCCCAATTGACACACCCATTGTTGTGATTAAATGATAAATGATTTCTCTTCTCAAAATTGATTTTACTATCAATTACTATCGAATATAAAAACAGGTTTGTCACTGAGAGGTTTTGATTGTGTTTATTGATAGAAAAGACCCCTCCCAATAATAGCATATGTACAACAGGAGTTAACTGAGAAAACGTTTTGTTGGAGAGATATAGATATGTACATATTTGAAAACATTCTGATTTGCAGTAAATGAGACACCTGCATTGCCATGTAAGATACGATTAATACCAATCACTGTTCTAATTTTAACAATATTTTCTAAAGATTGTAACAGTTTATGTCTTTGACTAGTATACAATGGACATTCAAAGAAGTAATGAAAAACATTCTCACATCCATGGCCACATTCAATATGATGATGCCGACTCCCGTTAGACTAGAAGGTTAAACCGAAATGTTTATGAAAATAAACTGTTTGTATATTACAGCAATAAAAATTCAAATTACTGTTTCTTCGTCCTTCTTTCAAAATGAATAATATAGCTTCAGTTTGTTCCTGTGTTTTTATTTGGACTATTCCGTAATAATGTGTAGGTAACAGGTAGTAGATAATCTGTTCACTGAACCGTAAATGTTGTTGTTTTAACTGGCTGCGAACTGGCTGTCTGCGTAATGGGAGGACACCATTACCTCAGTCTGTAATGGTTTAATCCATTTATCAGTAATGAATACAAACAATCACTTAGTAATATATTATATATTTTATTAAGGCAGGGTTATTAACAAAAATACATATCTTTTGAAGAGTCTGACGTAGGAGAACACGACTGTGATAGCGCTGTTACGGATGTGACATTACATCCTGTCACAGTGTCACTGCCGTAACATGCAGTCTTTATCTGTTTGTTTACATGACAGGGAGATCCATAAGTAAATCATTAGCCTATTACACATTCTTTAAATATTCTCAAATATCTGACTGACAAATTTCATTAAATTATATTTTAAAGTAAACATATAAAACTGGCTATTATTAACAATGTCACTACCGTTATTGTGTCACTACCATAACAATTAATGCTAATCTATGTCCATACCATAACATCATCAATTTCCTTTTTTAATTATATTCTAAACTGTGTATACATTCATGTGGGAGTAGAGGGGATGGGACAAAATGTGGTACAGATCTAACACTAATGTGGAAGGTCCTGTACTGGGGGATCGTCTAAGCAGTTAAATATCCTATAAGTAGACTAAAGCTTAAGTCTCTGAATTCATATTCATTTAATAGAAACAAATAAATATTTATGAAAAGGAACCCCATTGTGCTGGTGATCCTGAACCTGAGGGAATCTAGACTTGCTTCACTTAGTGCATTGGCTGGCAGATAGGGCTGGGAAGAGGGGAAATAATGTTGTTCAGGGCCTGTAAGACAGGCCATCATACAGTATTCATCAACCTATATGGAAGATCAGCTTCTTAAATATATCAAAGATGAAGGCTCACGCCGTATTCAAAATTTGAATATATATTTTCATCGGAAAGGGTGGATGGTGGTAGCAAAAACACTAAGCTTTCGTTTAATTAAATCAATGAAAAACTAAAATCGTAGATAAGATAAGTACATATAAAGTAGCACTGTCTTCCACATAACATTTGTTGTGGTGATATGCCATTTTTCTCTCATGCAAGAGCGAATAATGTCGACATGAAAAGGCAGAATTTTATTGAAAAAAAATTAATTCCTAAGATTTGCTATGTACCTGAACTTGAAAGATATCCTCTGGGCACAGCAGTAAAACATTGTAAATTACTGGTACAATAGTGATACTCGGATTAAATTCTCCATATATTTATCTTATATTCTTCCAAAATCACATCCGGCAGTTCTTGAACACCAATGGTTTGCACATGCAGGACACAGGCTGGCTCGTGTCGTTGTTTAGAATATATCTTAGTTTCTCTGTGCTACAGGGACGGTGGGAAAGCCTAGTGGTTATAGCGTTGGCTCGTCACGCCAGCTCAATTCCCCACACGAGTACACTGTGTCACACCCATGTCTGGTGTCCTCGGTCGTGATAGTTCTTGAATATTGCTATTATCGGGTGCAAAACCCGACTCACTCACTAACTCTCGATGCTCCAAGGGCGGTGGAGTAATTAAAGTGTTGGCTCGTAACACTGAAGATGGGGCTTGATTTCCACATGGATACACGTGACACACATTTCTGGTGTACCCTGTCGTGGTATAAAGGGATATAAAACCATAATCACTCAAATCATAAACAAAACACATATCTAAAACCTTGCCAAATATGAGGTGAGGTGAGGTGAAATGGGTTTTTTTTAAAGAACCCGCGACCTTCCGTTCTCCGGGCGGACGCTCTAACCACTACACCACGGCCAAATATGAATATCGAGGTTCCAGTATAAACTCATTTTTTCAAACTTACTCATTCCATTTTGGACTGATCGATGACTGGCAAGAGAACCATCTAAAATATGTTTACCTTAGTCTTTCCCCTAGGATTTTTTAGCAGGGCGCAGCACCCTGCCCTTTTTATTTGGCCGCCTGCCCTTTATATTTGGTGCCTTTCCCTACATTCAATACAAAAATATATATTAACACTTGGTGGTATTAACTTATTGTTGACGTTACGTGAAATAACTGTGCTGTTTGAGCCTTGAAGAATCATATGCAGGAATAACTTAACATAATACTTGGAAATCTGTAATTACCTGCCCCTTTTGAAATCCTGCCCGTTTTGGGAAACACTATATACCTGGAATTCATTCACGCAAGTTTGTACTGGTTTTTAGACGGTTTTGTAGTATATATGTGCTGAGCATTTATTTGCTAGTGCATCATTTACAGTTAAATACGTCTGTGATGTATTTTATGCAGCTGTGCATGTATTAACCAGTAATTGCTTATTATAATAATAGGGGTGGTAGTTTCACACCAGTGAAACATTGTAAATTACTGGTACGATAGTGATAATCGGATTAAATTCTCCATATGTATAGTTCATATTCTCCCAAACTCACATCCTTCAACACAAGGACACAAATGATTTGCACATGCAGGACACAGGCTGGCTTTTGTGTCGTTGTTTAGAATTTATCTTGGTTTCTCTGTGCTACAGGGACGGTGGGTTAGCCTTGTGGTTAAAGCGTTGGCTCGTCACGCCGAAGACCCGGGTTCGATTCACCGCATGGGTACTATTTCTGGTGTCCCCCGCCGTGCTGGAATATTGTTAAAAGCGGCGTAAACCCATACTCACTCACTCGTTATTATAACAATAACAAGTTGAGACCTGTAGCAGATATTACCCTAATGTCCTTCGCGAAAATATAGTGTTATTTTATCTTATGTTCGTTGAATTTGAGTTTTCGACTAAGAAACTGGTAATTTCATAAGCAGGTTACGATTGGTCTGAGAACTGCAGTCTGTTTTCCGATCCCAAGCAACCTCATCCCAACTCCATAATACCTTCTTCTTCCATATGTTTTAGTTGAAAAACATATGTAATTTCCTCTTAAACCCCACAAAAAAACAACCCAAAAATATATTGTTGTGACAGATTTTTTAGATCCCCCTCTTCTCTTTCGCTGTGTCACTGTCATTTTTCTCACTAAATGAGGTAGTTCTCATGAAAACTTTTTGCTAGAAATATTGCTTAGAAACTAATTTTGCTCTCAACACATCCAGCAAAAACATGAAGTAGCCTTCACTTGTGATATGGTGACAGTGATACTGTTTATTTCACATTTTGATGAAATCGCGACACCAAGAATCGCCAGTTTTATAATATGTCTCACCTGGAGACTGCAAAGATATGACATCATGCGTATTACAAATAGTATCAACATCGATGACCTTAGAAAAATGACCTTGATTGAAAAAGTCAGGTCCGCCGCAGATTCGTACAGACATCTACGCACTGCTTAGAGACATTTCCGTCTGCAAAGCATCTATTAACCATTCTCAAGTACTGCACATGCATTTAACATCGATTAAGCGGCATATGGCTGGTAAATTAGATTCTTTTTTAATAGCATCTATCTCTCATGTTCTCGCGAGATCTCGTTGCTATGGAAATCAATTACAAATGGCTGCGCCCATTCAATAACAAAGCAACAACAAAGGATTCAGTTTAGGATCTGCAGTCATGCCAGGAGGTATGTGATGAAGATTTGTTTTTAAGAACCGTTTTAAAACACACTTATTATTGTGCGTTGCCTAATTTACAGTCATACTTCATTCTAATTACAGAAAAGAAAAAAGACAAGAAAAGGGGCGATGATGGACCCGAAGAAAAATTGAAAGGAGTGTACATGTTTGCCAATGGAGATAAATACGGTAAATATTCTTTTTCCCAACGATAAATTGTCACCTTTTGGGGGAAAAGGTTTATTCAGCTGTCAGGTAGTCTGAACAGCTTCATGTAACGGCATGGTACTATATAGCTGTCAAACGCAACACAAAGGGACACTCCAAGTTTTCAGCTATAAAGCTTAAATAACTATTTGGTTGGGGATAAAATGGAAGACTGAGGTCTGTATCTTTTTAGCAAAATATGAGGTTTTTATTCAAGTATGGTTTTCTGTTTGGTGTAATCTGGTTTTACTGATCTTGACACTGAAACTCACCATAACACATTTGTTCTGATGAGCGATTCTTTGGGAAGATCCAGTCAAAAATCGGAAATAAACAAGCAAATTTCCACACTATGTCATCAGTGATAAAATATTGTTGTTCCACTAATGCCTCATTGCTTGTAACAATGGATGATATTAACATTGGATATATTTGCTTCCAAATTACCTGAAAAGTGTTTTTAGCCATCAGGATTATTTACATTAGACAATATGTGCTATGTGGTTGGTGCTGAGCTGCAATGCTGCTATGACGTAACCTCCTTGTTGATAGATGGAGAGTACAGCAAGGCTGAGGCTGGTGCCCTGGAGCGGAATGGGGAGGGCACTCACACAACAACAGAGGGTGTGGTGTATGAAGGACAGTGGGCAGGGGACAAGATGAATGGTCAAGGGAAGTTGACCCATCCATCTGGCAGTGTGTACATTGGCGAAGTTCAACAACAACCAGTTTCATGGAACCGGAAAATATGTCTGGCCCAATGGATCATTTTATGAAGGACAGTTTGTTGAAAACAAGTAAGAAGTCATAATTTGTTGTAACAATTTGTCAAATTGAATGTAAAAAAACATTAGTCTCACATTTTCTGGAAGAGGTCTTCTGGAAGAGACCATGCATAATACTACTATTGACAAGGGTATTTCTGTTATTTGTTGATACATAAATGTATACCCATCAAAAGTTGTAGTAGTATATTTCAAAATGTTTCTGGTATGGATTTGGAGCGGAGACCTTATTTCAGTCACCTATATGTGGCTAAAATGTAAAACATTTCTCTTCAGGATGGAAGGAGACGGAGATTTTACTGATACAGAAAACCAGACATGGACAGGAACATTTCGATATCGTACTGCACCTGGACTCCGTTTTAAGCTGAATATGGAATAAAGTTTTTGTGTACCATCACATGTATAAAGATTTGAAGGTCATTTGAATGTTCTGTGAAACAGTATTAGTTTACTGTTCATCCACAAGGTTTACTCTCCCTCATTTTGTGAATGTAAATATTTCATTGGAATTGTAGATAATGTGTATGAAAAATAAATGTGTATGTTGTTAAATGGTTTTGTTATTGGAAACAAGGATAATATAATGTGCTTCAGTTGCAGTAAACATTTTACCAGATTGAACTTTAAATTTCAAGAATAAGATGTGTTACTTTAGTAATTCTTGTATCATTAATAGACAGAGTAAAATAATTAGAAGCCATTCTCTTCACGTTCTTCAGAACAGGCTTATTAACAGACCAATGGAAAATACATCAAAACATATAAATTAATTTTATTTACATGAGGTTCTACACTAACATGAAAAGAGCCTGCTTGGCACACTTCATTAAAACGAAAAAACAAGGACTGCTCGGCTTGGAGTTAGAGTATCGTTTGTGAGTTGGGCACACATGTTAAACTGCAGTATCTCAGTGAGCTAGCACTAAAAGTACCAAGCATAAGTTCATGCAGCCACAAAAACACATGCATGTTCATCACCACACTCAATAATATGAGTGCAAAGATATTGAATGATATTCAATGGGTCAATGCTTTATAATTAATCAATCAGCGTGTTATCGGTTAATCCTTTGATCGATGTTTATAATGTTGAATATTTACTCCCAGACACAAGAAATGCCAAATGGGAACCTTTGTCGGGTAATCTAAGTGTGTTACCACTAATTATACCTGTTATAAATTCATTAACTGACCATCAAGTGAATGATGACAAATAACATGTGTAGGTTTATACCACCTAACACGAGGTTACAAATCGAGGGAGTATTAATTGCTGTATTGCATGTGAAAACTTATTGGCCGACACTGTTTTGAGAATACAAACAGATTTTTACATGACATGATTAAATATCGAGGTAAAAACAACACAGAAATGGGATCAATTTGGATCAGTCATTATACAAATAGGGCTTAACGGCACAAATCGATTTTGACAGAATCGTCTATGAAAACACAAGTTGTAACTTCGGAAACTAGGCAAAGGAGACTTGAGACAAAATTAAATGACAGTAGATTGTGAGAACATATAGCTTTCATTTTTCCACAACAATTGTCACGATTTCAGGTTTATACAAGCCTGTAAACACGATAATTTACCCCCTAAAATGTAGATGAATTCTGCATCGGCTCTCAAAGCTATTCCTCATATGACGTCACAGAGTAGCAGCTCTGATTGGTTGAAATTTCGTTCGCTCAGTGAGCAATTGTGCACTGTTGTCAAAAGGTCGATTTAAGTCAATTAAAGGTCAGAAATGAGTAGTTTTAATGACGGGGTTTCATTTATAACGATGCCAGTTAGTGATTTATGTATTTGTACCCCTAGGGTTTATGTGACCTTTAAATAACTATTTGGTTGGGGATAAAATGGAAGACTGAGGTCTGTATCTTTTAGCAAAAATATGAGGTTTTATTCAATTATCGTTATTCTGTTAGGTGTGATCTGGTTTTACTGAACTTGACAATGAAACTCACCATAACATTCGTTTTGATGAGTGATCGCTTGTGAAGATCCAGTCAACAATCGGGAATAAACAAGCTAATTTCCACACTATGTCATCAGTGATAAAATATTGTTGTTCCACTAATGCCTCATTGCTTGTAACAATGGATGATATTAACATTGGATATATTTGCTTCCAAATTACCTGAAAAGTGTTTTTAGCCATCAGGGTTATTTACATTAGACAATATGTGCTATGTGGTTGGTGCTGAGCTGCAATGCTGCTATGGCCGTAACCTCCTTGCATTGATAGATGGAAGTACAGCAAGGCTGAGGCTGGTGCCCTGGAGCCGGAATGGGAGGGCACTCACACAATAACAGAGGGTGTGGTGTACTTGAAGGACCAGTGGGCAGGGGACAAGATGAATGGTCAAGGGAAGCTGACCCATCCATCTGGCAGTGTGTACATTGGCGAGTTCAACAACAACCAGTTTCATGGAACCGGAAAATATGTCTGGCCCAATGGATCATTTTATGAAGGACAGTTTGTTGAAAACAAGTAAGAAGTCATAATTTGTTGTAATATTTTCAGTTTGGCAACAATTTGTCAAATTGAATGTAAAAAAACATTAGTCTCACATTTTCTGGAAGAGACCATGCATAATACTACTATTGACAAGGGTATTTCTGTTATTTGTTGATACATAAATGTATACCCATCAAAGTTGTAGTAGTATATTTCAAAATGTTTCTGGTAGTATGGATTTGGGCGAGGAGACCTTATTTCAGTCACCTATATGTGGCTAAAATGTAAAACATTTCTCTTCAAGGGATGGAAGGAGCCGAGGAATTTCCATTGATACAGAAAGCCTTGAACATGGACAGGAACATTTCGATATAAGTGCACTCAGGTTTGGCTTACAGATATGGAATAAAAGTTTATTTGTAATACCATCACATGTATAAAGATTTTACGAGGAGTCATTTTAGATGTTCTGGCAGAAACAGTAGTAGTTTTACTATTCATCCACAAGGTTTACTCTCCCTCATTTTGTAAGATATAAATATTTTCATTGGAATTGTAGATAATGTGTATGAAAATAAATGTGTATGTTTGTTAAATGGTTTGTTAGTGGAAACAAGGATAATATAATGTGCTTCAGTTGCCGTAAACATTTTACCAGATTGGAACTTTAAATTTCAAGAACAAGATGTGTTACTTTGGTAATTCTTGTATCATTAATAGACAGAGTAAAATAATTAGAAGCCATTCTCTTCACGTTCTTCACAACAGTCGATTAACAGACCAATGGAAAATACATCAAAACATATAAAATTAATTTTATTTACATGAGGTTCTACACTAACATGAAAAAGAGCCTGCTTGGCACACTTCATTAAAACGAAAAACAAGGGACTGCTCGGCTAGGAGTTAGGAGTATCGCTTGTGAGTTAGGCACACATGTTAAACTGCAGTATCTCAGTGAGCTAGCACTAAAAGTACCCGCGATAAGTTCATGCAGCCACAAAAACACATGCATGTTCATCACCACACTCCTAATAATATGAGTGCAAAGATATTGAATGATATTCAATGGGTCAATGCTTTAACCAACAAGCTAAACCTGCTACCAAGATGTTAGGTTGTAGAAATATTATTTCAGTATGATTAGACACTTGGCTCCTGTGCATATTCTATCCACTAGATCATGGATCATCATCATGATGAATTATGATATTGTCCCATGAGAGTTCATACCCATGAAGATCCGCTTAGAAATCTAATCTTCAGCAAAATCTAAACTCACTCACCACTTGAGGGTTCAAAAGCGTGAAACAAATACGTGCATTGCAAATTTTCCTCGTATACATTACAAAGCAGGACTTTGTATACAATTATAATCTGCTTTAGTCAATCCCGCTTTGTTGAACATAATCGCGAATGACATGACAAAACAAGTCCGTTGCATTTTCGCTTCAGTCTATTCGCTAAAACACATAATTAGTTTTTATTTACTTTCAACAGTTCACCGATGGCGAGGCATCCGTAGTTACGTTTGTTACATTTATAACTGCTTAAAGTCCTTAAAAATCGGGTGCATGGTAAGAAAACAAACCACAGATCATAAGTTGGTTAAAAATAGGATTCAAACTAATGATGACTAATTCCTGCCACGTGAGTAGGTACATAACTCTTTGAATTACTGTAATCTATACCAGCTGGTCACATTCATACTCAGTCTAGATCAGATTAAATGTGGTTGATAGTATGAGCTTCTCACACACCCTGCTGTTTGATGTGATGATATATGATCAACAAAGTCACTGAGCCAGACACCAGCTTAACTTTATTGCCCTCATATTGGCAGTAGACAGTTGACCACGGCTTTATCTTACGGCCCTCACTGGTGTGTACTGGAATGTTTTTACAGGATAAGGGAAATGTCAGCATTAGTACGATCATGACAGTCCTGAAGACCTGCTTTCGTCCTTCTTTGTTGATAAGTGTCCAAATATAAATGTGTTGTTCTACAGGATCAGTGCATTACTTTGGAGTTATCTCCTGACAGACACAGTTGGCAGACACCCAGTTGGCAGACACTGAGCAAGAAGGTTAGTGGGGTAACACCTCTGGGTATAATGGAACAGTCCACAGTCTAGTGAGTGGAGGGAGGTGGAGGAGGCTGAGGTTAGATTATGGAGAAGCTTGGTTTGGTTAGTGTAAATAAAACTTTGTTGTAAGTAAATGATAATCTGTTTTTCTTCGAGAGTTGTTTTACTATCAATTACTATCGAGATAGAGGTTTGTCACTTTAATGTTTACACAAGAACATGAGTAAAGCCGATTAATGATAATCTGTCTTCTCTCCTCACTTTGTTTTAGTATCAATTGATCTTTGAATGAGGAAAGATCTTAAGAGAGTTTTACATCTGTTTTAAAACAAGGATTAATTAATTAATTTTATCAATAGACTAATTTTAAATTTGACTCAACAAATATATAAAATGGTGAAAATATATATGTTCTATATAAATATGGCTGGAGTGCGAGGAGTGGAGTATCTAATGTCTCACAGAGAGGGGCCCTCAAATTGTTCTGGATGGTTATGTTTACACACCAGAAATAAGGTCAGACAGACCTGCACCCACTGGAGATGCATCGTCAAGAGACCTGCCGCGGGGAGGTGTTCAACTGTCGGAGACTTCATTCGAACACAGATGTAGAGCACAGACACCTGGATTGATGCCATGGACTCCTCCCCAGCCCCTCTGACATTGAGGACTTCAAGAAGGATTACATGAGTGCGTCACATGGGTGAACTATGATGCCCGATTCCCACTGTCACTTTGGAACCATCACAGCACTGTAGGACCAAGGACCAACAACAGCGGAAGGTTTCCACAGTGAAGAACAGATCTCTTACACCGCCACTAGCATATTTCGGCTTTGTGGAAGTAGTGGAGGATCGAGATAGCTGACAGGAAGAGCCAAGCTGAGACAATTCGACTTTGGGGCTGCTCCTCCAAGTCGCCAGCCCAGTCTACAGAGAGATGTCGACAACAGGATCCCGCAAGGGCTCAAAGACACACTGAGTGCGTGGCGAAGCTCTCTTCGAAGTTCCTAGATGCGGTGGCCAACCTCATAAAACTTGGCTAACAAGACATGAACTTTACTGGACTTGCTATAACTAAGCTTTGAATTAGATCTATAAATGCAGAGAAAATATTGCTATGTCAAAGATATATCCTTGGAAAGCTACTGTGCTACTATTATGCATTGTTATTTGAAAATATTATATTCTTGTTATCAAATGATATTAAGATTTTTGGTGTTTTTATTTGGACTATTGATTATAGTAATGTGTAGGTAACAGGTAGTTGCTCATCTGTTCATTGACCGTAAATGTTGTTGTTTAAAGGTGTCTGCAGACTGGCTATCGCGTAATGGGAGGACACCCTTTTATGAGCCATGCATGGCATGCATACAAATTCAGTGTTTCACTGTTTTATCAACCTTGCATAGTTTGGATACACACCTGGAAGAATTTTTTTCTCCAGCTGTAGCTTTTCTATTGCCCAGATCCCTCTGCTCATAGCAACACAACACTGTAGTGGTTGACCACAGAGATGGCAAATTTCATTGAAATTGTCATAAACATTTAGGGCAACTGCTGACTCAAATACTTACAAATACAAAATGTCAGACTTTACAGGACACTGGCACCAATCTGTTGAGCACTGCCTCATTCAACATTATTGCAATTGGGCAAGAAAAAGTCGTTTATGCCTGATTTGTGAGCTAGTGGGCTAAAATCACATAACTTTTTGAGTAGCCTATCATAACAAGTCAGTTCCCTGATCTGTCTCTTTAACTATGTATCATGACACACAGTGTAATTTTCTGTTTCACATTTTAGCAGACATGCTCGGCATACACACAAATTCAATGTTCCACTTCTTGCATGGGATGAGGACAGGATCAGTGCATTACTTTTATGGGTTATCTCCCATTTGACAGACACCCAGTTGGCAGACACCCAGTTGGCAGACACTGAGCAAGAAGGTTAATTAGGGTAACACCTACGGGTATAATGGAACAGTCCACAGTCTAGTGAGTGGAGGAGGTGGAGGAGGCTGAGGTTCGTTATGGAGAAGCTTGGTTTGGTTGAGTGTAAATAAAACTTTGTTGTAAGTAAATGATAATCTGTTTTTTCTTCTCGAAGTTGTTTTTACTATCAATTACTATCGAATAGAGGTTTGTCACTGTGTTTACACAGAACATGGTCACGCCCGATTAATGATAATCTGTCTTCTCTCCTCACTTTGTTTTTAGTATCAATTGATCTTTGAATGAGGAAAGATCTTAAGAGAGTTTTACATCTGTTTTTAAAACAAGGATTAATTAATTAATTTTATCAATAGACTAATTTTAAATTTGACTCAACAAATATATAAAATGGTGAAAAGTATATATGTTCTATATAAATATGGCTGGAGTGCGGAGAGTGGAGTATCTAATGTCACAGAGAGGGGCCCTCAAATTGTTCTGGATGGTTATGTTTACACCAGAAATAAGGTCAGACAGACCTGCACCCACTGGAGATGCATCGTCAAGACCTGCATCGGGAGGTGTTCAACTGTCGGAGACTTCATTCAACACAGACAGAGCACAGACACCTGGATTGATGCCATGGACTCCTCCCCAGCCTCTGACCGCGCATTGAGGACTTCAAGGATTACATGGTCGCCACATGGGTGGACTATGATGCCCGATTCCCACTGTCACTTTGGAACCATCACAACACTGTAGGACCAAGGACCAACAACAACTTGGAAGGTTTCCACAGTCGGAAGAACAGATCTCTTCCACACCGCCACCCCAACATATTTCCGCTTTGTGGAAGTAATTCGAGGATCGAGATGGCTGACAGAGCCAAGCTGAGACAATTCGACTTTGGGGCTGCTCCTCCAAGTCGCAAGCGAAGTCTACAGAGAGATCGACAACAGGATCCTGAGGCTCAAAGACACACTGAGTCGCGTGGCGAAACTCCTCTTCAGTTCCTAGATGCGGTGGCCAACCTCATAAAACTTGGCTAACAAGACATGAACTTTACTGGACTTGCTATAACTAAGCTTTAATTAGATCTATAAATACAGAAAAATATTGCTATGTCAAAGATATATCTACTTGAAGCTACTGTGCTACTATTATGCATTGTTATTTGAAAAATATTATATTCTTGTTATCAAATAAATATTAGATTTTTTTGGTGTTTTTATTTGGACTATTCGATTATAATGTGTAGGTAACAGGTAGTTGCTCATCTGTTCATTGACCCGTAAATGTTGTTGTTTTAAGGTGTCTGCGAACTGGCTGTCTGCGTAATGGGAGGACACCCTTTTATGAGCCATGCATGGCATGCATACAAATTCAGTGTTTCACTGTTTTATCAACCTTGCATAGTTTGGATACACACCTGGAAGAATTTTTTCTCCAGCTGTGGCTTATTGCCCGTATCCCTCTGCTCATAGCAACACAACACTGTAGTGGCCATGTCACTCAGCTCTGTGATAGTTGACACCAGGGGCTCCAGTGACTTTAACACAGGCAAAACATGAACTCTGAATTAACTTTGAATTTCAATGTCATGAACTAAGACAGAACATTACCATGATCATGATGATTACTGTCCTAGTGCAAACATTTTCATTGTCATTTTCAGAGTAAAAATAACTTATTAAAGCTACAAAGTTATGAGGCTGTTTGTCAGAATGGATGCAGACAAGGTAGTCCAAGGATCTTTGACCTGACAAGGCTAAAACTTTCCACAAGCCTTCTTGCATGTTTATGTATTTTAAACATGTTTAAGGTTTCCTGAGGGAAAATAGTGAGTATGATCATGTTCTTTCAATATTCTGCCTTGTAAATGTTTCGGGTTAACTTCTGCTAGATGTTGAAATACAGGAGCAGTTTTATAGATTCTTTCATTTAGTGATCGTACAAAAACACAGAGTAAAGGAAACCTCATTAGAAAATAACCTTTATAAATATAGGTAATTACCTCATCATAATAAATGCAATCTGCAATGATGATGAAATCAATGTGGTCAAACTTTGTTGACCTGTCTTGACCCCATGTAAGACTACATGCCTCTGCTGATCCACTGATGATGTGAGAGTTCTCCTTGATGTTCAATTCCATCAGAGGGACAAACTCAGGCAGATCTGTGATTATCACATCAGCTCTGAAGACAAAAACATTTAGACTGTCTAATGTCTATGACTGGTAGTGGTTCATACTCATGAACATACAAGATTTATCATGCTTATTAAATACATAGATGCTGAAATCCATTTTGTCTCTCTAATAAAAAGGGTAGTTTGAATCTTTTAGCTAAGATTTATATGTATGAACCATTGTAGACACTGTCAACTAAAAATAAAATCCTATATGAAAAGTATTTGATTCAGGAATGCTTTGTTTAGCTCGCTTCCTCAAATTGCCTAAACGTCTTCGTTGACGACATGGTCTTGTGGAAGACCTAATAAAGCGTCCATCAATATTTTACTAGCGCTTCAAAATGATCATTGACCCTTCATACGGTTACCTCCCTTGGTCCCATGACCTGAGACAGTTGATGGTGTTCAGGGTAGCCATAAGGCATGGACTCCTGTCACAGACTGACAGTGCTGTGGTACCTGTATCGTTGAATATTTCAAGTCACACAAACCCATAACTTGCTGCAAATATTCCGACAACTCCAGTCCCCGCACCAAGTTCCACGACTTTCTTTCCCATCCACGATTTGCCACCGTCAAAGTCACTGGTTTCTAAATATTTACTGAGAACGATAGCTGCGTCCCAAACCACACAACCTACATCGCCGATTTCTGACTGGCTTATTTTCACTACCTCGTCGTCATTTCGCTCTAATTCACGTGTGAAAAGTTTATCTAAGGGCGCAGCCATGTTGATTACTGCATCACATACGGTGGTCAACTACTAAACAGTTGGATAAACTATTAGTGTTATATGTGTAGAAACAAACCAGCATACATTATTTTCATATCCGAAGTATATAGATGTACTTTATTAAAATGATAAATGTATTAACATATTGCAAAGAGGTTTGTTTATTAGGATATACATATATATTCTGTGGCATATTGGAATACGTCATTAGGTAAGTAATACCTCTATAAAGCGGGTGTTTTGAAAAAAAGTCAACAAACTCGAGCAAATGATTGACACTAAGGAAATTTGACCGATGAGCTAGGATATGTAATCGTTTTATCAATGGAGCAACTCTTCCCTGAGAATGAATGTTGAAATAATTGAGTTTACAGTTCCAACATGCAACAGAAAGAACCTGTTTGTGACCAACATTTCACCACAAGATGAACTTCATGTTTATGTAAGAGCGGAAATGTTGATATATGAATATACATTTATTTCGTCAGTCGTAAATCTAAAATATAGTTTGTTAGATGACGCCAGTTAGATATACAACAAAGTCATTCTGGCACATATTGATGTTGACAGCAATTTATCATTAATTGAACAGTACGTGCGAGAGGGGCGGTGGGGTAGCCTAGTGGTTAAAGCGTTGGCTCGTCACGCCGAAGACCCGGGTTCGAATCTCCACATTGGTAACCAAACTCACACAGTCAGTCAGTATTCATGCGAGCTCCAAGTGGTCTAATGGTTACTACAGTAGACGGTGCTGTTGTTTTATATATGGTGCCGTTTTAGCTCATAAATCAGTAGCCGTTTTCGCCAGACAAATTTGGTGACGTTCTGCTGTGGTGCCGTTTTAGCTATAACCCGTACGGGAACAATCCCTGTCCACGTAACACTAAAGTATGATAATTAATGGTAGACCAGCTTCTTGATCACCTGGCATTGGTGGCAAAACAGACTACAAAAAAGTCAGTATTGATAATGTATTTATTTGAGTAAAAGTATGAACTGATAATCCCATGAGTTCTTTCATATCAACTCAAAGCAAGTTAAACAATCATATGACTCGTGACTTTTAATCCCATAATCCTGTTGGAACTTAATGATTTATAATATGTTCATTTCTCCTGTTTTGATAAGATCCAATTGCTTACACATCACACAGAAAGGAATAATTAATCTGAAAGTGAAATAGTTTTTATAAATAACTAGAGAACAAGACCTTTTTTATAACAATTGTTGTTGAATTCGTATTGGCAAATAACTGGAGAACAGGATGTTTTTATTACTGAAGATTATTTGAAGTTGAAAGTGAAATAGTATTTATGAAAGACAGTATAAACAAAGTCAATAGAGAACAGGCCTTATTATAACAGTTGTTGTTGAATTAGGTTTAAAAACTGTTGGAGAACAGGATAGTTTTATTACTAAAGATAAAGTGAACTAGTATTTATAAAATACACTATAAACAAAGTAAATAACGTGAGAACAGGATGATTTATAATAGTTTCCCATGACTTTTTTTCCATGACTTTTTTTCCTATGACTTTTTTCCAGATCACCAAAATAGCAGCCCATGTCCCCCTGCTCATAGGAGGGGCGATGGGCTAGCCTGATGGTTAAAGCGTTCACTCATCACGCTGAAGACCCGGGTTCGATTCCCCACATGGGTACAATGTGTGAAGCTCATTTCTGGTGTGCCCCGCCGTGATATTGCTGGAATATTGCTAAAAGCGGCTTAAAACCAAACTCACTCACTGCTCATAAGCACATAGGGCAGCTCAGGGTATGGTATCTCAGTATCGCCACTGTGACATGATGCTTATATTTCAGGACCTGCTTTACGCTACATTCTCCAAGTATGGCCTGTTGTATGAAGTCCAGATATTCCCCACTGCTGGAAGTTGTGGCAGACGTCAAGTTTCTGAATCCCCTGGGTTTTATGCCTTTGTTAAGTTCTACTCCTACAGGTCAGCCGCGAGGGCTAAGGCTGAGTTGAACAACAGGCTGTCTGTTGGAAGCAGCATCTGCAAGGTACAGTGGTTTTTCGTTACTCCATTTTTTAAGGTATTTTGCAGACACACATACTGAATGATTCAATAAATATTTAATAATATTTCAGGGTTTCTAAGTAAGACTCAGATGTGTTTGATTCATGAATGTGTGGGCTTCTTGGATATATAATCACTTTTCATTTTACCCAAGTTATACCCATCCACCACTAAAATGAGAGTCAATAACCAACTATTTCTTGAGACAATATCACAAAATCGTTTTGAAAATGTGAGATTGTTTGTGTGTTTAGAGCTGAGAACAATAAACTTCTTAAAGAATGTTACAATGGTATTTTTATGCAGTCTCATGCTTTGTGTAATGACATGAATATTCTTTCTCAGTTTTTATCCTTTAGCCTGCTGAATTCATTTCAACATAAGGCGTTGTGAAGAGGGTGGGTGATTTCAAGCAGTCGGTGTGTCATTAAATAAGGGACAACAGAAAAAATATTTGGCACATTAATACTAAATAGAATAATAAACATTATTATCCAAAAATATCCTGATAATTTCAAACATTAATGACAAGGCAAACATAAATAATCAGGGGTTCAAAAATCCCATCGCCCCGGGGCCCGGGACAAGTCAGTTTTCATTTCAGGCAATCAAATAATGGTATCTACTTGTCCGTGGGCTACTAGATAATTTCCACTTATGGTTTCAAACTGCAAATAAACTTGGATTTAATTTCATATCTGCTCAAAATGTAGCTAAATGTCACATTTCGCAATGATAATAAAGTAGAGTTATCTTTCTTTGCTATTTATCACTTTTCAATAAATAGTCCATTGAACATTAACATCAAATACCGTGTTGATTTATTCTTTCATAATTACATCATCATTATTATTTCATAAAATCTCGGCAAGTGGAAAATTAGTCAGGACAAGTTACTTTCTTAAAGTCACTTGCCCTGTGTCAATTTTGCTGAACTTACCTGAATTCCTTGATTGACAGTTGAATGCGTATCGTATAAGGAACCTGAATAAATAGTTAAATTAGTGAAAATCTATTTTAATATCCTTTATTTCTTATTTCCGATATCTCAGAATTATCTGGCTTTAAATTCGTATATTTGTATCTGCAAATATCAGCGTGACAGCAACTTAAAACATTTCTGAAAAGAAATAATCGAAAACGTTCGTCGTAAACAAATTGTATTTTCAATGTCATCATATATCTTATTCAAATGACACTGTAATGTTTATTCCAACATGTCATATCATAAAACTTGCGGAATAAAATACATGATTTATTATTTGCGGCTGTGTGCCGAGACATTTGGCGAACACATATTTAATTTGCAGGCGTTTCATTTTAAGGTACATAGACTAATTGAAGATGATATATTTAGAAAGATGAGAATTACTGCATTCCATACATAATTCAAATAACACATAAATCCGACTTGTTGAATAATTATTGCAAGTTTTATTTGGGGATGTCATTATGCTTCTCTCCTGTCGATTGGGTTCGAAAGTAGCATTGAGAGGATTAAAAAGTAGAGTAATGATATTTTCCCAGTCTGCTAGGTTTGAGGTACTTCTGTTCATGCAGCTGCATGTTGTTGTATCCTGGCTTTGTTACACTCTCCACCTATATTGTGTAGGTAGCATTTGCAAAGAGAAGAAAGGGAGATAACCAGATCACTACTCTCTCACTGGTCAAGTGTCAGGAACTAGCCAGCTACTATCTGGGATTCAATGGCTGGTCCAGCAATATTCAAATAGTGAGTACTGCTCTTGTAAACACTGAATTCAATGATTTGCTAATCTCTCTCAGGTTAAAGATTGAAGGCATCAAAGGAACATGATTTAGAGTGGGTTTCTAAAAAGTGTCCTCACATCTACATTGTAGAGATAAGAACATGGAATTTAAAAAAAACTTATCAAGAGTATGTCAAAATTATATCCTAAAGCAGTTTTTCAACCACATTTTAGAATAATTATTGCATAACCTTGTATTAGCAGAATCATCCCCATTTGTAGAGATATCTGATGGACTGATGTGGAAAATGTTTGATGGACTGATGTGAGATGTATCTGATGGACTGATGTGGGATATATCTGTTTACTGATGTGAGATGTATCTGATAGAGGGATGTGGGATATATCTGATGGACTGATGTGGGATATATCTGATGGACTGATGTGGGATATATCTGATGGACTGATGTGGGATGTATCTGATGGACTGATGTGAGATATATCTGATGGACTGATGTGAGCTGTATCTGATGGACTGATGTTAGATGTATCTGATGGACTGATGTGAGATGTATCTGATGGACTGATGTGAGATATATCTGATGGACTGATGTGGAGATGTATATGGGACTGATGTGATGATCTGATGGACTGATGTGATGGCGATCTGATGGACTGATGTGGGATGTATCTGATGGACTGATGTGAGATGTATCTGATGGACTGATGTGAGATATATCTGATGGACTGATGTGAGATGTATCTGATGGACTGATGTGAGATATATCTGATGGACTGATGTGAGATATATCTGATGGACTGATGTGAGATGTATCTGATGGACTGATGTGAGATATATCTGATGGACTGATGTGGGATGTATCTGATGGACTGATGTGGGATATATCTGATGGACTGATGGATATATCTGATGATGTGGATCGGATGTGGGATATGATCTGATGGACTGATGTGCGATGTATCTGATGGACTGATGTGCAATATATCTGATGGACTGATGTGTGGATGCTCTGATGGAATTTTGTTGTGTCCATTGATCAATTTTATGCAAATATGGACGCAGGAATTTGCGTCCTGTAAATCCCTGTGAGATGCATCTGATGGACTGATGTGAGATGTATCTGATGGACTGATGTGAGATATATCTGATGGACTGATGTGAGATATATCTGATGGACTGATGTGAGATATATCTGATGGACTGATGTGAGATATATCTGATGGACTGATGTGGGATATATCTGATGGACTGATGACCGAGATCAGGGTTTTACCTTGAGGTCTGTTTTTGAGGGTCCCTGGGACTCACACTCTTAATTTTCAGGGGTCCTGGCCAACAAAATTGGGGTCCAGATACTTAAATTTTTATCATTAATACTGTTATTGTCTTGTGTATCATGATCATCACTTTATTTGTTACAGTAATTGAATTGCAAATTATACCATAACCCAGCTAGTAGCAAACTCTTTGATAGCTTAGTGTTACTTGATTGGAATTTTTACAAAAAGTATTTTGACTTCTGCGTCCCTGTGGATGCTCTCATCAATTTTGTTGTGTCCATTCTCAATTTTTATGCAAATAGGACGCAGGAATTCGCATCCTGTAAATCCCTGTGAGATGCATCTGATGGACTGATGTGAGATGTATCTGATGGACTGATGTGAGATATATCTGATGGACTGATGTGGGATATATCTGATGGACTGGTGTGGGATATATCTGATGGACTGATGTGGGATATATCTGATAGTCGGATGTGGGATATTCTGATGGACTGATGTGCGATGGATCTGATGGACTGATGTGCAATGTATCTGATGACTGATGTGCGATGTATCTGATGGACTGATGTGAGATGCATCTGATGGACTGATGTGAGATATATCTGATGACTGATGTGAGATATATCTGATGGACTGATGTGGGATATATCTGATGGTCTGATGTGAGTTGTATCTGATGGACTGATGTGGGATATATCTGATGGACGGATGTGGGATATATCTGATGGACTGATGTGAGATATATCTGATGGACTGATGTGGGATGTATCAGATGGGTTGTTGTAAGATGTATAATGGAAGGACTGACATGGGATATGTATGGTATGGACTGATGTGGTATATATATGGGATGGACTGATGTGGTATATATATGGGATGGACTGATGTGGTATATATGTAGTTGACTGATGTGGTATATATATGGGATGGACCAATGTGGTATATATATGGGATAGACTGATGTGGTATATATATGGGATGGACCGATGTGGTATATATATGGGATGGACTGATGTGGTATATATATATGGGATGGACTGATGTGGTATATATATGTGATAGACTGATGTATATATATGGGATGGACTGATGTGGTATATATATGGGATGGACTGATGAGTGGTATATATGTAGTCGACTGATGTGGTATATATATATGGGATGGACTGATGTGGTATATGTATGGGATGGACCGATGTGGTATATATATGGGATGGACTAATGTTGGATATATATGGGATGGACCAATGTTGGATATATATGGGATGGACCAATGTTGTATATATATGGGATATGGTATATATGTAGTCGACTGATGTGGTATATATATATGGTATGGACTGATGTGGTATATATATGGGATGGACTGATGTGGTATATATATGGGATGGACTGATGTGGTATATATGTAGTTGACTGATGGCATATATATATGGGATGGACTGATGTGAGATATATATGATGGACCGATGTGAGATATATCTGGATGGACTGATGTGATATATATATATGGATGGACTGATGTGGTATATATATGATGGACTGATGTGAGTATATATATGATGGACTGATGTGGTGATATATATGGAATGCACTGATGTGATATATATATGGGATGGACTGATGTGGTATATATATGGGATGGACTGATGTATATAAATCTGATGGACTGATGTGGATATATATGGGATGGACTGATGTGGTATATATGTAGTTGACTGATGATGATATATATATGGATGGACAGATCTGATGTATATATATATGGGATGGACTGATCTGGTATAAATATGGGATGGACTGATCTGATGGATATATATGGGATGGACTGATGTGATGTATATGATGGACTACGATGGATGTATCTGATGGACTGATATATGTATGGATGGACTGATGTGGTATATATGGATATATGGGATGGACTGATATGGTATATATGGACTGATGGATATATATGGGATGGACTGATGTTATATATGGATGGACTGAAGTGGTATATATATATGGGTTGGACTGATGTGGTATATATATGTGGGATGGACCAATGTTGGATATATATGGGATGGACTGACTTAGCATTATATCTAGTCAACTGATGTGGTATATATATGGATGGACTGATGTGGATATATATGGGATGGACTGATGTGAGATGTATGTGATGGACATGTATCTGATGGACTGATGGACTGATGGACTGATGTGAGATGATCTGATGCACTGATGTGGGATGGATCTGATGGACTGATGAGATGTATGTGATGGACTGATGTATGGATGTGGATGGATCGATGGATATATCTGATGGACTGATGTGAGATGATCTGATGGACTGATGTAGATGATCTGATGGACTGATGAGATGCATTATGATGGACTGATGGGATGAATCTGATGGACTGATGGGATATATCTGATGGACTGATGGAGATGATCTGATGGATGATGTGAGATGTATCTGATGGACTGATGTGAGATGTATCTGATGGACTGATGAGAGTATATATCTGATGGACTGATGTGGTAGATGTATCTGATGGACTGATGTGGGATGTATCTGATGGACTGATGTGGTAGATATATCTGATGGACTGATGTGAGATATATCTGATGGACTGGATGTGGTATATATCTGATGGACTGATGTCAGATGTATCTGATGGACTGATGGATGTTTGTGAGATGTATCTGATGGACTGATTTAGAGGATATGTATCTGATGGACTGATGTGAGATGTATCTGATGGATCGATGTCAGATGTATCTGATGGACTGATGAGATGATCTAGGACCTGATGGAGACTGATGGACTGATGTGATGTATGTGATGGACTGATGTGAGATGTATGTGATGAACTGATGTGGGATATATCTGATGGACTGATGAGATACCTGATGAACTGATGTGGATGTATCTGATGGACTGATGTGGAGATGGATCTGGATGGACTGATGAGATATATCTGATGGACTGGATGTAGGATGTATCTGATGGACTGATGAGATGATCTGATGGACTGATGTCAGGATATCTGACACTGATGGATATATCTGATGGACTTGATGAGATGTATGGATGGACTGATGAGATGTATGATGAACTGATGTGGATGTATCTGATGGACTGATGTGGATGGATCTGATGGACTGATGTGGATGTATCTGATGGACTGATGTGAGATGCACCCTGATGGACCGATGTGGGATGTATCGATGGACTGATGTGGGATGGATTCTGATGAGACTGATGTCGATGTATGTGATGGACTGATGTCGATGTATCTGATGGACTGATGAGAGATGTATCCTGATGGACTGATGTCGCGATATCTGATGGACTGATGTGAGATGTATCTGATGGACTGATGGCTAGGATGTATCCTGATGGACTGATGTGAGAGATGAATCTGATGTACTGATGTGGGATATATCTGATGGACTGATGTCAGATGTATGTATCTGATGGAGCCGGATGTAGAGATGTATCTGATGGACAGATGTGGGATGGATTCGATGGACTGATGAGGATGTATATCTGATGTAAATTGATGTGGGATATATCTGATGAATGACTGGATGTCAGAATGTATCTGATGGACTTGCCGATGTATCTGATGGATGGATCTGATGGATCTGATGGACTGATTTTGAGATATAATCTGATGGACTTGATGCGGATGTATCTGACGATGAACGGATGTGGGATGTATCTGATGGACGGATGTGAGATGTATTATCAGATGGGTTATTTGCTTAGGATATATAATGGATGGACTGACCTAGGATATGTCTGGCATCGACTGACCTTTGACTGACTGAGTATGGTTTCTGCCCTTTATAATATTCCAACATATCATATGGGGGATGAAATGGACCGACACATTGTGCCCATGTGGGGATATATATGGGATGGACTGATGTAGTATATATATATGGGATGGACTGATGTGGTATATATATGTGATAGACTGATGTATATATATGGGATGGACTGATGTAAGGTATATATATGGGATGGACTGATGTAGGTATATATGTGAGATGGACTGATGTGGGTATATATATATGGGATGGACTGATGTGGTATATGTATGGGATGGACCGATGTGGTATATATATGGGATGGACTAATGTTGGATATATATGGGATGGACCAATGTTGGATATATATGGGATGGACCAATGTTGTATATATATGGGATGTGTGGTATATAATAATAAGTGGAAGCTGATTGATGTGGTATATATATATATGGTATGGACTGATGTGGTAGATATATGGGATGGACTGATGTGGTATATATATGGGATGGACTGATGTGGTATATATGTAGTTGACTGATGTGGTATATATATGGGATAGACCTGATGTGGTATATATATGGGATGGACCGATGTGGTATATATATGGGATGGACTGATGTGGTATATATATATGGGATGGACTGATGTGGTATATATATGGGATGGACTGATGTGGTATATATATGGGATGGACTGATGTGGTGTATATATGGAATGCACTGATGTGGTATATATATGGGATGGACTGATGTGGTATATATATAGGGATGGACTGATGTATATAAATGGGATGGACTGATGTGGTATATATATGGGATGGACTGATGTGGTATATATGTAGTTGACTGATGTGATATATATATGGGATGGACAGATCTGGTATATATATATGGGATGGACTGATCTGGTATAAATATGGGATGGACTGATCTGGTATATATATGGGATGGGCTGATCTGGTATATATATGGGATGGGCTGATCTGGTATATATATGGGATGGACTGATGTGGTATATATATATTGGGATGGACTGATATGGTATATATGTAGTCGACTGGAGTGGTATATATATGGGATGGACTGATGTTATATATGGGATGGACTGAAGTGGTATATATATATGGGTTGGACTGATGTGGTATATATGTGGGATGGACCAATGTTGGATATATATGGGATGGACTGACTTGGCATATATGTAGTCAACCGATGTGGTATATATATGGAATGGACTGATGTGGAATATATATGGGATGGACTGATGTGAGACATATGTGATGGACCAATGTGGGATATATAGTTGTTCGACAGATAGGGGATATATGTGATGGACTGACGTTGGATATATGTCGGGTGTGATATGAGATACTTGGGATGGGCTAACGTGGGATATATGTGTGTCGGATCCATGTTGAATACATATAAGGAACTGATGTAACGGATTTGTTCAGTTGGAGGAAGACAAGGAGTGTGTACAACCTGATGGTGACCTCAAGAAGATCAAATACTTCTGTAGTGTGAGACTAGATCTCACTAATCAGGATCTCTCTTGTGATGGCATTGGTGCCTGGGAGGAAACTTGTTCCAAAAATGGTGAGCTTTAAAGTCATACTTTAACAAAAAAAACTTTTATTCACACCACTTAGTTATATCATAGATGCCTGTAAATATCAAAGACTGGACCTAATGCTTCTAACAAAGATGGGGCGGTGGGGTAGCCTAGTGGTTAACGCGTTCGCTCGTCACGCCGAAGACCCGGGTTCAATTCCCCACATGGGTATAATGTGTGAAGCCCATTTCTGGTGTCGCCCACCGTGATATTGCTGGAATATTGCTAAAAGCGACGTAAAACTAAACTCAATCACTCACTCTAACAAAGAGAATGAGGTTACCCTCATCATTTTAGAAAAGGAGTGTGCTTTTAAAGAATGGATGAAATGATTGAAAAATGCAATAGTTTCATTGATGTACGTAGATCAATATCCAACTATGCTTCCTGCATACAGATGTGGCAGGTCGAGGAGGGTTACTGGCCAAAGTCCAGAAGACGGCACACAAACGGGCAATGGAAAATGCATTCTCCAAACTTGTGATCATCTCCCTGTCTAACGGGAAGGTATCAGTGGAGGTCAACACTACACGCACTGACCAGATCCTTCGGGAAAACACAGTAGACGAGGCACAGTTACTCAAGGTTTGTATCTTATAGACTCAATGATTGGACGTTGCAGTCATGGCATGGTTATTTGCAAGTTGCACTTTGTACCCAGTACTTATACTAGGATTCAAAGAAAAAATATGTTCACTTGATCCATGTTTGTAGAGGATGCATGACCTGTTCAGCATACATTAATGAAAAGTAAGTCTAATTAATTTTGTTACGATTATGTTATATCAAAATTCAGACCGAGCGGAGGTATTTGATGTCATGGTGTCATACCAAAAGATGTAAAAATATGGTACTTGTTATTACCCAGCAATTGAGGATGAAAACAGTTAAAGGTCGGCTCTTGGTGTCTGAGCTAGGTATGAAATTTATCTCAGTGATAACATGTTATATCAGAAGTGTAAAACCAACAAAAACTAATGTGGGGCGGAAAATACGACACAAGGAGGTTGAGTTGTCAGTTCATCTTTTTAATACTGTCAACTTGTGACAACGCATAGAAAAAAACCCAGGTGACCTGCTCAACAGCGAGGACAAGCACGGAGTCACATCCGTCACAACTGGCGTTCAAGTTACATGAATTTATGGGTTGAAAGGTGGATAAACGTTAGCGATAGTGGAGCGAGAGTTCTGCGGCCTGCCTCGGCAGCGATGCTTACTTCTGCGCGTAATTGGCGATTGTCGCAAAATAGTTTACAATTTAAAATATTCTAGTGAAGATGGATCGATTAAGTAGCCAAATATTAGTAACTATAAAGATATGAGGGAATATTACGAAAACAATACTGGAATTAATTATTTGTAAGTTGCAAAATCCGCGGAATTTGCGAAGATAGGCGAGAGTTAGCGAGCTATTTTTGAAACTTGAAACTCTCTTCACACTCCCCTGCTGAATTAGTTGGCTCCGACAACTAACTAGATACCAGCGTTACAAATATTCAACAAAGGCTGAATAACAGGATGTACAAAACAAGAAAAATATCTAACTACTCTTATCTCTTTGCTACCTCAAACATCCGTTACAGAGTTGGAACAACAAAGAACTCTGTCTAAAACTCAAAGCATTACGCAGCACTTGCATCGACTCTGCAAGACACAATCATGGAACTGGTTTCTGCACTCTAAGAGCGAGAATGTATCTCGGTCTAAGTTACATACTTAGAACCAATAAACACTAAAGTTTGCCGTGAAGCAAATCACACATTGTCTAAAATATCTAGTAATTCTAACACATATAACAACTGAGTTGAATGATCCTTCTCCATCCTCCCCTGCTGGAAGATGACCAACGTCATGTTTTTCTAATTTTCAGTCATGGACGTAAAGAAGACAAGATTCAGGCAATCCTTCAGCCTGAGTAGCAACCTTTTCTCCTTCTACCACTTCCTCCTCAATTACGTCAGCTTCAGTTCTGGGTTCATGTCCTTCACCAGAGCTTTTGAATCCAGGATTTCCCATCTATGAATCGACTTCTCCTTGTCCCCATTCAGTGATTTGACGATGTAAACAGATGGCTCAATTTTACTGATTACTTTGAATGGTTCTGGATTCCAAATATCGTGTAACTTGTGCCTCCCTTGGAAGTGATTTTTGATGAAGACTCTGGCACCAATCGGAAGTTCGAGATCAACTGGATTCTTGTTCAGGCTTTTCAGCCTTTTGAGAGCCTCTTCTTCTGTACGTTCCCTGGCTTGTTGGAATGCAGTTTGGAGACGGTTCTGATGTTCAGTCACCCACTCCATCTCAGATGTTTCTAAAGCTTCTCCTAGCAGTAAATCAAGGGGAAGTCTTGGATCTCTGCCATAGAAGAGATAGAATGGAGAGTATCTGGTGGTGGCATGTGTAGTGCAGATGTAATCAAATATGAGCTTCGGCAATAGTTGTGGTCATTTTGTCTTTCGTTCTGGTGGCAACGTTCACAGCATATTGTGCATGGTCCGATTTTATCGTTCGCATTGTACATTTCCCTCTGGTCTTTGTATTCTTGACTCCATAGATACTACACAACTCACGAATTAGCTTACTCTCAAAACATCTCCCTTGATCACTGTGAAGCCGATGTACCCCAAACTTGACAAAACTTTCTTTAACAAGGGTTTTGGCAACAGTCTTTGCAGATTGATCTTTTGTTGGATAGGCTTGGGTGTATTTAGTGAACACATGTGTTAAGACAAGGAAGTTCTCATATCCGTTGTATCCTCTTTCTAAAAGCGTAAATTCCATGGCTAGAATTTCCAAAGGTTTTCTGGCATTGATAGAACCAAGGGTTGGCTTTACATTGGGACCATGCTTCCCAAGCTAAATTGCTCACATGTCTGACAGTAGGAGTCAACGTCTCTAGTCATATATGGCCAGTAGCATCTGGATTTCAAAATAGAGAGAGTTCTATCTGTGCTCTGATGTCCACTCTCATCATGACATGCCTTCAAGATTCTTCCTCTCAATTTCTTTGGGACAACAGAGAATCAGCATTCTTGTTCTTCTTTCCTGACCTGTGGCGTATCGTCAAATTGAACTGAGCTAATTCACCAATCCACCTGCGTCTCTGTAGCACCAAGTTTAGCGAAGTTTGGACGCTAACTCAAGGGGTCATTATCCGTTATAAACAGTACACTGTGCACCAAGTAAAGAAATCCCTGTACTTCTCTGTAGCAGCCCATCTCAGCGCAACCAGTTCTAATTTCATACTGCTGTAGTTTGTCATGTTCTTCTCAACAGCGAATTAGCGGTGTGACCGACTAAGCGTAACTCAGCACAGTTTTCCCTGTCTCCTGGTCCTGTGAAAGCACAGCTCCAAGACCATCATGACTGGCGTCGACTTCAGGATATATGGTCTTGAAAATCTGGGTGTCCAAGGACAGGTGCCGTCGAATCAATTTCTGCTTCAGCTCTTCAAAGGCCTTATCACCGCGAGGCTGTCCCAAGCAGAAATACCTTGGCCACTGCTGAGTTTACAGCTTGCCTTTCTTCTTGAGGGGTATTCCATGCAACAGAGAGGTGCAAGGGTGCTGCTATACTTGCAAATGATGGAGCCGAATTTCCTGTAGTACCCAGCTAAGCCCAGAAATCCCACGAAGCTGTGTCTCGGTTTTGAAGCAGACCATTCAACCACTGCTTGGATTTTGCTTTGATCGGGTGATATGCCTTCTTTGGATATGTAGTGCCCAAGATACCCGAAGTTTCTCTTTAAACAGCTGGCACTTCTCAGGCTTCACTTTGAGGTTAAATTTGGCAGAGTCTTGTCAGGACCATGTCTAATCTTTGTAGCGTTTCTTCAAGGTAGTGCCAAAAATGAGGATGTCATCCAGGTAGATGAGGGCGGTTTGAAAATTTTCATCGCCAAAGATTTTATCCATCAGCCTCATGAAGGTTCCATGGGCTCCTGTTAGATCCAAATGGCATTAAGTAAAAGTACTCATACAATCCACCAGTACCAGTTCTAAATGCAGTCTTTTCTATATCGTCCTCTGCAACAGCTATTTGGTTGAATCCGTTAATGCGAGATCAAGGCTACAGAAGTACTTGGCACCTTTGAGGACGGTAAGGGCTTCATCTATCGTGGGAGGGTAGGCATCCTTCCTGGTCTTAGAATTCAGCGATAATCACAACAAATCCTAAGTTTGTTACCTTTCCTTACTAGCACAATAGGAATCTGCGTAGGGGCTTGAGGACTCTCGGATTACTCCCTTCTCTAAGGATTTACTGATGTAGTCACGGACTTCTTGCCATTAAGCCTGGAGGGATTCTTCTGTGAGGAATTAGCACAGGTGCATCGTCGGTAGTGATGATCGATGTTTGATGGCATCCACAGAACCCAATGTCATCGTCATCTTTACTGAATGTGGTTGAGTGTTTGTAAAGAAGCTCTTGAAGCGTGTGCCTGCAGTCTGATGGTAAGTTGCTGTTTACATCCATTCTCTGTAATAGGCTGTCAACAAGCTGGTCATTCAGTTTGGATGGACTTGCTTCAGTGACTAGTACTTCTTCACAGCTGACCTCCACCAAGTCAATGTTTGGTTCAATGTTGGCCTCATTTAAAACTCCGATCAGGGTTCTTGGCTTCATGTAGATGTCGGCATCACTGAAGTTGGCAAGCTGCACAGGGATAACACCAGTGTGGTCAACAGTGACAACAGATTTTCCTACCCGAAAGGCCTCTGGGAAGGGAAGTGATGTCTTCTCAACTAAAGCTGTGTAGGGTAATTTGGAGGGGCTGACTCTACATTCTACTACTTGGAGGGATCTTGCAGGGATGATGATAGGTTTGTTCTTTTAAGCCAAGCAAAGCGAATCTTCTTGTCAGTTCTCTGTATTTCTTGATAGAGGGCCAAAATGTTTGAAAGGGAGTCCAGAATTTTAAGATTTTCATTCTTGACTTTTAGTTTCATTTCTTTCAGAGCATTAGATCCAAGAACTCCAGGGACTTCTGTCTTCCGTTCTCTCATGGCATCATCCACTGGATCCTTGACAACGAGAAAGCAAACTGATCCAAAACTTTGATTGTAGACTGAAACATCCAATGAGATGAGGCCCAAGTAGGGTATACTGTGGCCAGCTGGCTGCAGTCAACCCGGATAAACTGTCCCATGTCCAGAAGACCTGTTGATTCCAAGTTCTCCCTGTAGAATGATTCTGTGATAGTGGAGACTTGGGCACCAGTATCAATGAGGCTCTTCATCCTGACTCCGCCAACTACCAATTCAGCCACTGGGCATGTCCCTACTATCCTAGACAAGGGTGGACCTTCATCGACATGAATATGTTCCACTCCCACCGTGTGGTCCTCCACAGCAGGATCGACTAGTTTGACGGCTGACTTCTAGCTGGGCAGTTACGCTGCATGTGACCTAGTTGTCCACAGGTCCAGCACTTCCTCTCCCTACTTCCACGTGGTCTGTATCTCATCAACTTCGTTGATTTGTTGCTGTTGTTTTTCAATGAGGTCAGCTTGGCGTTTTACAATGTCCTCCATGTTGGCGTGATGTTCCTCCACAGAGACCTTGTCCCTGGCAGCTGTGGCATATGACCCTCTCCACTCAATCAAGCGGTCGCGCAGGTCGAGGAACTTCGAGATCCGGTTGTTCCTTAGTGAGGCGCCCATATCTCCCGTTTGATGATGTCATTGCTTGCTGCCTCTGCAAACTGGCTCTTCAGGGCACTCTTCCTCTGACCCAAGAAGGCTGGCTCAATCTCGGTGATTTGATGCGTATAGATCAATCAAGTCCAGCGACAAGGTAATAAGATCTTGGCCCTGCTTCTGACGATGTGAATAGAAGCGATGCTGAGCCGTGGGCAAGTCACTGCCTCCTCCAAACACCTTCCGCAGTACTTTTATTATTTCTGTCGGCGATTCCTTTACAACCGACCCTCGCCAAAATCTCCTGTCGTGCTCTGCCTCCGAGGTGTTGGCAGAGGAGGAGAAGAGCATGCTCCTCATCACCCAGTTTCCTTGCCTCTCACGGTGCACCTTCGTCAAGCAACCATTCTTGAGGGTGGCGTCTCCTGCCTTCATTGGCTTGTCCTTAAAGATGGTCAGTTGGCGTCCAGTGGCTACCACGAGGGATTTGGGGGGACGATTAGCAAACAACTGCTGTTGTTCCTTCAGCTGGATCCTCATCCTGGCCAGCTCTTCCTCCAAAGCGAGAGAGATCCTCCGGGGTTGATGCTGGGGACATCGTCGCTGCTGTGAGGTGACTTTGGTAGGCTCATGATTCAAGGCTTAAAAAAAACTACTTCAAAGAAAGTCAAATATGATATTCGAAACATCACACAAAACAGTACTGTTGGACACAATCATACAATCTTAGCCACATTATCAATTGTCCTTTGATGCTCAGTGACCATACTATTACACCACGGAACACAGTCTGTCCTGGCACTTTCATTCTTCAGAAGCGATGACATCTCAAATGTCGTAGTCCTCTCTTGGGCTGCCATCCTGCGACGTCATCCTGTACTCACTCTGGGGGTTTCCAGCATTGCCTGTGTCATCCCACTTCTGACACCAAAAGTTGTGGGGCGGAAAATACGACACAAGGAGGTTGAGTTGTCAGTTCATCTTTTTAATACTCTCAACTTGAGACAACGCAGAGAAAAACCCCAGGTGACCTGCTCAACAGCGAGGACAAGCACGGAGTCACATCCGTCACCACTGGCGTTCAAGTTACATGAATTAATAGGTTGAAAGACGGATAAACGTGAGCGATAGTGGAGCGAGAGTTCTGCGGCCTGCCTCGGCGAAAACGTGCTTACTTCTGCCGCATGTCGTGACGATTGTCGCAAAATAGTTTACAATTTAAAATATTCTAGTGAAAGATGGATCGATTCGTAGCCAAATATTAGTAACTATAAAAGATATGAGGAATATTACGAAAACAATACTGGAATTAATTATTTGTAAGTTGCAAGATCACGGAATTTGCCGAAGATAGGCGAAGTTAACGAGCTATTTTTTTTTGAAACTTGAAACTCTCTTCACACTAATACAAACAGCCACTCACACACGTGTACAGCTACATAAGGGCAATAATCTTGAACAGGACGTTAATCCCCATATCACTTCACCTAGTCAAGTCATGGCATTTAACAAATGGCCTAAAATCAAGAAGACTTGTTTGCACAGGCTTATTAGGTCTGTTTGATTAAAAACAGCCAAAAAAATTTAAGCAGTCATGCCAGTATATAATCATAGCTTCATCAGTAGAGGTGTGTGCCGATACAGAAATTTCATGATACGATACATATCGCGATATCTTGATTACAGAGGATCTCAGCACACTAGACTACTAGAAATTCCACCTTAACATAGATATACGAAAACAATCAGCCCCTGGTAAATGTTGAAGGGACCCAGATTCAAAATCCGACATGGTTACAGTGTCTCTCCACCATCTTGATATTGCTGAATTGATGATAAAAGCTCGTAAAAACCTCACTGACAGCCCACTTGGAATTGATGGGCTTAAGGGTAAATAGAACAGGTGGCCTTGCCTCTGTGACATGGTCTATAGCATGTCATCAAAATCAGACAGGAAGGACATTGTTCATTATTACAACCACTAGTGTGCCTGACCCACTCTCCTTTTACTTAATAGCCAACTGTTACAAGGGCAGCCCTACACTGTGTACACCAGTATGTCTATTCATGTTGTGTTTTAGGTGAATGAGCTGGGCGAGGAGCCGAAGAAGGGAGGAGGCTGATATAGATGACATCAACCTGCAGATGCTCCAGGAGCTGGAGGGACCCAGACTGAGACAGAATCAAGTCAACTGTGTCATCAAATGCATTTTCTTTACATTCATTACCATCATCTTCATATGCTTTGAGATTTGTAGTGTGTGTTGAGTGCAAACTTGTGTTTGACCATTTGCCCCGGAAGCTGTTAATGAAGTCTGTGGCCCTCATGATATATATCAGGTTGGCGTCCGGCCCCATCTTTGGGTTTTCGTAAAATGACGGGCTGGATGATATAAGCATAATTGTTTTATAGGGAGGTGCACCACTTGCTTACCCAGCCAACAAAACGTATGGGTGCGTCCCAGGGATGTATGTCTATATGATCCTGGAGAAACCAACAATACATATCTTGTTTTCTCATCACTTGATGTTTTTGTTTATATTTGAGTTGATATAATTTTCGGATGCTGCTGGTCATAATGCCAGTCACTGGTTTGTCTGACCAGGCGCTAGGAACCTTAGGCATGTAATGTAGCTTGGTGGTATGCATCTGAAAGCATTCTTCAGAAGCGATGACATCTCAAATGTCGTAGTCCTCTCTTGGGCTGCCATCCTCGCGACGTCATCCTGTACTCACTCTGGGGGTTTCCAGCATTGCCTGTGTCATCCCACTTCTGACACCAAAAGTTGTGGGGCGGAAAATACGACACAAGGAGGTTGAGTTGTCAGTTCATCTTTTTAATACTGTCAACTTGTGACAACGCAGAGAAAAACCCCAGGTGACCTGCTCAACAGCGAGGACAAGCACGGAGTCACATCCGTCACAACTGGCGTTCAAGTTACATGAATTTATGGGTTGAAAGGTGGATAAACGTTAGCGATAGTGGAGCGAGAGTTCTGCGGCCTGCCTCGGCGAAAACGTGCTTACTTCTGCCGCATGTCGTGACGATTGTCGCAAAATAGTTTACAATTTAAAATATTCTAGTGAAAGATGGATCGATTCGTAGCCAAATATTAGTAACTATAAAAGATATGAGGAATATTACGAAAACAATACTGGAATTAATTATTTGTAAGTTGCAAAATCACGGAATTTGCCGAAGATAGGCGAAGTTAACGAGGTCTATTTTTTATTGAAACTTGAAACTCTCTTCACACTAATACAAACAGCCACTCACACACGTGTACAGCTACATAAGGGCAATAATCTTGAACAGGACGTTAATCCCCATATCACTTCACCTAGTCAAGTCATGGCATTTAACAAATGGCCTAAAATCAAGAAGACTTGTTTGCACAGGCTTATTAGGTCTGTTTGATTAAAAACAGCCAAAAAATTTAAGCAGTCATGCCAGTATATAATCATAGCTTCATCAGTAGAGGTGTGACGATACAGAAATTTCATGATACGATACATATCGCGATATCTTGGAACGATACGATGCATATCACGATATGCTATCTTTAGTTATTTTCTTTAAAAAGGTGTATTTTGATAACAAGTAACAGTGTTAATTTTGACATAACCGTCAATTTCTAGTGAAAATTCATAATTTTAAGGTCAACGATACATATCACGATGCGAAAAAAAGTATCGATATATTTATTGTCAGAAAAAGTATCACGATTATCGATACTACGATATCATCAGTATCGTATGTATGGTGACTCCCATTACGCACATACTTGTGTAAATGTCCAGGATATTAAACATCACATTTGAAAGTCACAAGTTCAAGTTCACCCTTCATCGCCTTCTGGGTTCCATTACAGAGGGATCTCAGCACACTAGACTACTAGAAATTCCACACCTTAACATAGATATACAAAACAATCAGCCCCTGGTAAATGTGAAGGACCCAGATTCAAAATCCGACATGGTTACAGTGTCTCTCCACCATCTTGATATTGCTGAATTGATGATAAAAGCTCGTAAAACCTCACTGACAGCCCACTTGGAATTGATGGGCTTAAGGTAAATAGAACAGGTGGCCTTGCCTCTGTGACATGGTCTATAGCATGTCATCAAAATCAGACAGGAAGGACATTGTTCATTATTACAACCACTAGTGTGCCTGACCCACTCTCCTTTACTTAATAGCCACTGTTACAAGGGCAGCCCTACACACTGTGTACACCAGTATGTCTATTCATGTTGTGTTTTAGGTGAATGAGCTGGACGAGGAGCCCGAAGAAGAGGAGGAGGCTGATATAGATGACATCAACCTGCAGATGCTCCAGGAGCTGGAGGACCCAGACTGAGACAGAATCAAGTCAACTGTGTCATCAAATGCATTTTCTTACATTCATTACCATCATCTTCATGTACGAGATTTGTCGTGTGTGTTGAGTGCAAACTTGTGTTTGACCATTTGCCGGAAGCTGTTAATCCAAGTCTGTGGCCCTCATGATATATATCAGGTTGACGTCCGGCCCCATCTTTGGGTTTTCGTAAAATGACAGGCTGTGATATAACATAATTGTTTATAGGGGGAGATACACCACTTGCTTACCCAGCCAACAAAACGCATGGGTCGTCCCAGGGATATGTGTCATATGATCCTGGAGAAACCAACAATACATATCTTGTTTCTCATCACTTCGATGTTTTGTTTATATTTGAGTTGATATCGCTCGGATGCTGCTGGTCATAATGCCAGTCACTGGTTTGTCTGACCCAGGCTAGAACACTTAGGCCGTAATGTAGCTTGGTATGCATCTGAAAGCATGTCAGTTTGTCTTCCTGTGATAACATATATTGAACTTTTCCATGGAGATGTTTAATCAAACAAGATGGTCTGGCCTGTTGAGTGAGTGAGTGAGTGAGTTTGGTTTTACGCCGCTTTTGGCAATATTCCAGCAATATCACGGCGGGGAACACTAGAAATGGGCTTCACACATACTGCCCATGTGGGGGATCGAACCCAGGTCTTCAGCGTGACGAGCGAACGCCTTAACCACTAGGCTACCCCACCACACCGTCTGGCCTGTTGGGAGCCAGTGTAGATGCATGTACCATCGACCTGGAGCAGAGTGGTTTATGGATAGTGTCTGTGCTGGAGAGCGACTGCGATGGCACCTAAAGCTAGTACTTGTTACCGTGGCTGGCTCTACATTAGGGGATGAAACAAGGACACAGAGGCAGCATGGTGTATGTGATGAGGTATCTTGTGTCCTATCTTTGTATCTCTTGGGCAAGAACTATGATACAAGCAGGCACACACACCTACGCTACCCACCTACCCTACCTAAGTGAAAGAGTACGGAAGGCGACCTGAAACCTCATGTAAAATCAGACAAGTGAGCAAACACACAACTACAAAATGCATGGGCTCTTGATCCTTTAGCGAGGTCATGTCAGGTGCTCCCTGCAGACTTCCAGGCGAACGAGTTCCCTGCCTGTTTGTTGTCTAACGGCACAGTAGGCAAAATTCCAGTTTCATGTATACGACCTCCGTGTTTAATAATCTACCCTGGACCGGACAATCCAGTGATGCCACCATGAATGTCGGTCTACACATTTTGAATACTGTCGTTATCCCACTAAAATTCGCTGTGTAGAAAAGTATTGGTTGCTGAACACCAACACCAGCCCGGGTCCTGGCGGATTTAGCCCCCTGTTAGACCAGTATCCATGGTTGTAAGACTGACCTTATATGGGGTTTAACTTTCCTGACTGTGGCTCTTATATAGCGATGTGCACGTATCTGTTTACGTTCCTGTTTGTCAAATATGACTTTACAGGCAACCCCACTAAGATATCCCACATAGACATTGAATCCTGACGCTCACCTGACCAGTCCTTGTTTCAGGGGCAAGATTTCAGAAAGTACACTATGTCTCTATGGTTTAACACGGTCGGAAATCGATCAGACATTCCACTAAGTTGGTTATACCACTAAGTTGGTCCGTGCCTGAAAGACACGACACCAGTGGGGTACATGAGGTAATTACTAGGATGATTATGTCTCTTGGATCGTTTCTCAAGATGCCAGCCAATGGTGTTAATCTGTTGGTTAACGTTGTAAAACTGTCGGCGTATAACTTTCATTCGCTCATTGTTTGTTTTACGCTACGACCAACAAATTCCAGCTCTATGAATAATCGAGTCTGGACCAGACAATCCAGTGATTGACACCATGAACATCGATCCACGCAATTGGGATACGATAATAACCAAGTCAGCGAAACTGAATACCCGCTCCCGTTAGTCGCCTCTAACAAGCATGGGTTGCTGAAGACCAATTCCAAACCAGATTTTCGCGGATTAGCTCATTGTCATATTTTCTATTTAACATTCATTCAAGGTAGATCACAAGGAACCATCTAAATTTGAATTGAATTTTTATTGTGATTGCACTATTTTAATCAATAAATCAAGTGATAATTTATAAAAATAAATCTCTTAGTCTATTCTGATAGAACTATGAGAACCTCTGATCAAAAAGAACTTATGTACCTAAAGACTATTGCATACATAAACCCATTATTTACCAACACAATAACTCAAAGACATTATGGAAAACGAAATAACATAACGAGTAATCCGTTTCTGTTCGAACCCAGAAACAAGACGAGCACGCCTCAGTCATATAGGCATTTATCCTTATTGTTTTCACACGATTTACTTCCACAGGAACTGTTTATGTAAAGACACAGTACTCTGTGTTAGCATTTCGAAAAACACAGTCATCCAGAATTGTTTTCCGTGCAGAATGTTAGTCTAACATCCAAGAGAATGGATTATCTCCCCTTCGTGTTTCCCTCCACCTGTTGTGGCGTGCAGTCTTCGCTGATGTCCTCCACAGTTGTGCCGAATTCTTACGTGTCAAGATCGTGAAATTACCACCGTTACTAACACAACCAGGGCCTGGCATCGATGCCAGTAGACGCCATTACTCGGCTGCACACACATATCCACAACCGCTTTGAAGTAAGCTACAGCCTCGGCACCTTAGCAATAACTGTTGGAGGCAGTTCCACCTTATGCTGACTAAATAGATATTATTCACACAGATTTAGCTATCACTTTTTATCCATACGTGTTCCTTGTACTAATGGTAAACGCCCCGTGCCATTTGGTCTTTGAGATGAGGACTTGGATTTAGGCTTGCCGAATTCCTTAGCAAGTCTTTCCCGTACATTGCGAACGCTTGAAAGATGTCTGGGTGTACTGAGGTTAGTCCAGAAGTTCTCTGGGGGTCGTGTTCGTCTTGTGGAAACGTAATTGTCAGGAAGATCAAGATTCGCACTGCCATTCGCTTCTCGTTTTTCATCGGTCACGTCGGTGTCGTTTTGTTGTTTGGGTGCTTCGTCGGCTACCTTCGGAGTCTTTTCGGGCTTTGTTTCAATTGTCGTCTGCTTAACGGTATCGTTTTGGTCGGTATTCTGTCGCATCCTATACTGTTTGTACTCATAGTCGGGGATAAGTCTGGACGAACGACCTGTATTCACTCTTGAACCCGTATTCTTTCCAGTTGCCCCATTTGGAACAGATGTCTGACTATAATACGTAGGTTTCCTCTGAGCTGCAGATGCCATTTTCTGCTTTAGCATTTGGCTCTCCTTGTCATACTCACGAACCACAACCCGCTTAGCCTTATCTACGTGTCGTTTCTCATTGTCTAGTCTGTTGTCAAATCTCGCATTGTCTCTTAATATCCCGTCTTCGAACTCTGACCTGGTGACGGTGTGACTGGCCATTCCGGGAAATGTCTTCCGACTGGACATGGCTGCTTAAGTTGATACCACAGGGTTAAATCCGTTCGGTTACACCTGAAGAAACAAATACATAACTTTAATAATTCAGTCAGATCAATTTCTAACTCAAATAATAAATATTCTACAAACAAATCCATCAGGTTCAAACGATCCTGAAATAGAAACTGTCGACGGCAAAGTTTTCTCGTACAATCGTAGATTTGCCATGACATGGGTGGATCCAGCTCTCTGTGCTGGAAACGCATTATCAGCGTTACTTCATCTCAGCGTTACCGAAATAGACGCTATTGCAAGACCTGCAGGTATATGTCACTGCTGTTCCCAAACACGTATTAGAACGGTTGCAGCAAAACATATATTTACAATGTGTTGGACTGGCCTACATGTTTCCTTGAGAAAACACCGACCAAAACAACAAACATTCAATGAATATTTTAAAAGGTTCATGTAAAATTTCATTAAACTCCCAGCTCTAAATGGAAAAACAGATTAAACATACATATAAATGAGGAACGTTCACTGACACCGAACTTCAGGTGATACTGTCGTCACGGGTTAAAAACACACGAACACATGTATGGTTAAGCACGCACGCTGTTTATATTGCATCTTCACTCAAGCAGGATCCCGACAGAAACAACTCAAGTCTAGAAACCATGTTTACTCGACTGGTCCTGCAATCTTGACCATATCGCCGTTATTGGTTGATTTATATCCAAATGAGTGGACTGCCTCTGAAATATTGATGATTTGACGGTAGGTTTCCGTGCAACAGCTCGAATCAAATTTTCTTGGTCTCGTAACGGTAAATTGGATACTTCGGCGCTGACATCTCGCACGTCAGAGTTGCCATCACGAATGGCAATGCTCTACGGCCAATTTAACGCCAATTACTGCAGGTAAATCAATGAAGGTGAGGAATGGTTTGTCAGTGCAAATGTTACAGCAGACCAGCTGCAAACTTATACCTGTCTGAGCATAACCTGTTCAGTTGAAAGATAGACTTTATTAACGTTCACTCTTTGAAAGAAATGCACCCTTGATGTTGATAAAGCTACCTTGTAAACCCTCTTTATAATAAACTCTGTACTTGCTTCGACATAGTCCGACAGAGACTTGGTTTGATTAAATTTTAGTGTGTGTTGTGTATGACGCTTGGTCGACACACCTAGCTGCCTGGTTCCTGGGTAGGCTGCGCTTGCACTACTACATGTCGGACCAGGCAACACATGACCATGTAGTGGTGTGGGTATACCAGTCGTGTAAGAAGCAACAGTTTGTTGTTTGTTGCCGCACTCATCAATATTACTGTTACATGTCATCACTGGACCAGACAATCCATGATGTCATCGACATCGATCTAAGCAACTGGAATACGAGGACATACATCCATCAAGTTGCCTCTCACAACAAACACTGATTGCTAAATCGGTTCGTTGTGAAGGGACTCTTCCCTCAGGCGTGCCACAAACCTGTGATCGCTGGTTCGGAACCCGTCTGACTTGAATATGCGTCCAGGTTTGTCATCACCATCCTCATGGGTGTACGGGAGAAATTAGAAGACACGAGACGAATATCATTTTTCGAAAGATATACTATTTCTGTCTCCTTTCACTGCAAGATTGCAAAACACGTATTATTTGGTAAAGTTCCATATGTCAGTGATATAAAGTTGTAAAATATCTATACACAGATCCAGTGACTGTCTTATTGAAGTTTAAAGATAAGTGCAAAAGGGGTTAAACTTGGTGGTCAAGAGCATTGCTCTTATAGTGACGTGCATGCACGTGTGAGTGTGTGCGGTTGGAGGTGCGGTGTGGTTACTGTCCTAGTCTTCAACTAATGCCGTAAATGTTTAAGGCCTGCACATAGAGCTGTCACGCCATGATATAACATCTGAACTACTCTCCAAGGCGTTGTAAACCACCACGTCAGCTGTGGTATATGACACTCCCCCCTCGTTGACCTGGGGTCCCAGTGGAAAAGGTAAGACGCTTTGTAAGAGTGTAATAATATTCTAATACCACCCCAACCCAATACCCCCTGTGTGTGTGTGTGTGTGTGTGTGTGTGTATGTTGTTTAACGCCGCAAATCATGTGCAGATAATCAACTATGGACCCCTTAGTGCAATTTGGCGCTAAAACGATCCACTCCGCCGAGACACGATAACACGAGATCAACCAATTCACAGTGCCTGGCCATCCGATCCACTTAGTCGCCTCTTACAACCATAGTCACGATATGGCTGAAATATTGCCGATGTGACTTTAAATCTTAACTCACTCACTCTTACAACCAATTCAACTGTCACGGTTACTAAGCACCAATTCTAACTCCAACGGGGACCAGCCAGTGCTGGTGGAGTGGACCGTTGGTTCTGATGCGATCAAAGAACATAGCTTGATCAGAGTAGACTGACTGACTGAGTTTGGTTTTACGCCGCTTTTAGCAATATTCCAGCAACATCACGGCGGGGGACACCAGAAATGGGCTTCACACATTGTACCCATGTGGGGATTCGAACCCGGGTCTTCGGCGTGACGAGCCAACGCTTTAACCATTAGGGCTACCCCACCGCCCCTGATCAGAGTAGAACAAGGGTTTCTAGAGTTCTAATGACTCGGCAAACACGCATTTCATAAGTAAACATAAACAGTGAGTTTATGGTATGGATGTTAAGTTTACGGTTTTGTGTTTGACTCACCTTATAGATACGACAAGGACGTAGGAGAGGCACACGCTCTGTGCATACGTATGTTTGAAGCATCTACATACACCACACAGAGGGGATAGCGGGGACTCGTAAACTTCACACGGGAATGTCTTTATCTGCTAACACGTGGTGTATTACATGAAAATACACCTTGATAAATAATCATATACAAGTATATCAGGCGTTAAAGTGTTTGGATACCCACCATTAAGCTGTCAACAAGGGCTTTTAGCAGGCCACGAATACGTGGAAATGTGGCTGGTTTTAATTGTCCACGTCTCACTTTCAGCGAGGGCTGGTATGTTCATGTCAACAGCGTTCGGTCATACTTACACGCACAGGACAGGGACGGGACAATACATTTCAATAAAACATGCTGTGAGATATCATAATATCAATCAAATTTGCTGATATACAGTGTCAATAAAATAGACAAAGTGCTACGAAACTTGTTAAATTAACTTGTTCGTTCGTTTTCAAAGATGTAGTTCCTCACTTGGTCGTACAATGAGATGAAACTCCCTTGCAGTTTTCATAGCACTACCGAATTTAGGATTTGTAGATTGTCAGTATGTCCATAAATGCAAGTATATTTAGACAGTAGAACGACAAAGGTGCATAATATCCCAATACCACTGAAATAGTGGTGCCTATACAGCAAAACGGTTTGTCTACACTAAATAGTCATCCTCAGAGAAGGGCAATGGTCTTCTGACAATTACTCCTGACACAATGCCTATTAGAAAGTTGCCAAACTGTAACGTGTTCTATTTTAGAATTCCACTTTCTCAGTGAAATACGGAATCTAGTACTTTAGGGTTGAGTCCCATCCGAGATTCGAGCCCACACTCTCAAAGTGAAGCGTCTGAACCTCGTCACATGAAGTCCAACCAACTCAGCCACCACAGCTTCCACACAAAATGGAAGCCTGACAACTGAATAAGTACTTTGTGTACTTCTCTCTTCTTTTGTCGACGGGGCGCCTCTTACAACAACTATGGATTGCTGAAGACGTATTCTAACGGGACCTTCATAGGACGAGTTGAGTCAAGGCTTCAAGCACTAGGCTACACGCTCTAGAAACATTGTATAGACCAAGAGTCTACCTGGATGTAGTGGTGGCAATGTAAACACACGGGATTCGAGTACTTCCAGCTAGCTACCATTATAATAAAAGCCCGGGCTTACACATGATTGTTGCTAAAAAGGTTGGGAAAGCCCTCAATACCATCGAAATATAAACCTTTGCAACCTATAGGGCTATCACGAAACAATTGGCTTGCTACGCGCCTGACTTCTGTAAATATCGGAACTACAGCGACGGTTATTTCAATGAAAACAAAACCGTAGTAAGTCCAACTAAAATACATATTTGCATATCCATTTTTTTGGCTTATAAGTTAGTATCATGACAGTGTAATACCAGGAAAACAGCCATTTCAGAGCCAGTTTTCATCGGCTTAAAGAAATGTATTGAGGTGACGTCTAGTTGCTCGTGATTCCCAAGTCAACATACGATTCCCTGTACACAGTAAAGATATATGGACACGAAAGCAATGAGAGATGATCCAGTCGATGACCTCGATGTAAGACTACAAGTAATGCAGGTGGTGGTTGAACCCGTCACATTAGTGAGTCGGGATATTTGTGTCCGCCCTGATGTAACGCGCCTGTCTGGTGTTTGAACTTCCCGAAGGCCTGATAGATAGGTATAAGTTTTGTCAATATTTAGTTTACCCTCAGTAAAAGTTCATGAACTTACTAGCCATAGATTACCTACTTGTCTTCCATAGTTGACGGAAGCATCTTCTATTGTCTAAACTGTTTACACCGCTACAAGGTCACATATGCTGTTGATCAGAGCTCGGCTAATCGCCGGTTTGATGAGAAATACGTACTTGATTTTATCCGTACAAACAATCCAGCGAACATTTGTGAATATTAATAATTTAAAGGAATCCATACTAGAAGTACATGCATCCATCAAGCTGCATCTCACAGCATGCATTGATTGCACCTGTGCCGTCTTCAAGTTAAAATAGTCAGGTATTATGTGAATAACGGAAAAAGCCGAATGGACCCGATTAAAAGCATTTATATATTCTTACTTTTTCATTAACTTTCCAAACACGACATAAGGTTCTATTTTGTAAACATACGGGTGTGTTAGCGGATTCGTGGATAAAACGAGATTGTAACCATACCTCAGGAACATCGGCCTCGTACTTTCGGACACAGTTTTACATATAAGATAGTGAGTGAAGTTTGGTCACAACTGTCAACTGTTTTGGAAAGATAAATATAAAGTTATCCGTTTGATTTTCGTCGCTTTTTATATGG